CTCAACACTGATTGATCCCTTTTTCATAACCTTATTCTTGTTACTCACTTTCTCTTCACCCCTTGTTCAGTACATTCATACTCAAACTAAACTTCTACTTTAAACAGAGGATTTTTTTTTATCTTCTGTTATTTTATATTTATTTTATTTAGTTTTTAGGGCCATAACAAACTCAGTTTTAGTAATAAAAATCTGTAATAGAAAGTGCCTATTTTTATTCATCCTTTGGTACATTAAAATAAATACCTTTTTTTTTCCCATAAAATCATTACCTTTAAATACACCGATTTGTGATCATTTATCCACAAGCCTCCCATTCAGAAAGGTGGATTCATACCAAAACCAAATCTGTATGTGGATCTCTGCTCCTGTTGCTCATAGTGATCATATAATGACACCCAGGACAACACGGAACAAAAGAAATAATACCCATGTTGCCAGAACTTAGGCAGACATTTGTAGGTACATCTTTCACATCAACTGGGATGTATCCACTTTTGAACTTTAGTTTTGCTCTGCCTGAACAGCACATATCCTTCCAAACCTGTGGTGTTCTCATCACTGCTATGCCACCAGCTATCTGCCCTGTTCATAATTGCCCTCAGAGCCCACATACATCAGCAGATCAGGTTTCTCTATTTTATAGCCATAAATCCAGCAGTATGGCAAGACAGTTAAGACAGAAAGTGTCTTCTTGAGTTGCCCAAAATTCCTCCTCTTGTCCCAATTCCATGCTCTGCTCTGCCACATCACCATCACTCCTGGAATACCAATACACAGGGAATAGGAGAGTGAGCTGAAAGGAGCTGTCTTCTGCTAATGAAACTGTTCCAGAGATAACACATTTCACAGCCACGTCCAGATAGAAAATTATGATAGCTAATGGTTGCCCAGGAGGCTGTTCACTACTTTCAACATTTTTGAATGTGTCAGATACCCATCTATATAAATCGGTGCACTTCATAATTCAGTAAAAATTCTATAGCTTTTTCTGTAAAATTATATTCTATATTGAAGTTTCTCCAAATTGACCACAGATTAACTTCAACATTAAATATGCAACCTTTGGAGTTTTTAACACAAAAATCTTTACACTGTTAATACTAGAATAAACAAGACTTAAAATAAAACAAATGTCCATAGTTTTCTCTGGTGAATAAAGGGCAGAAATATCTACAGGTAATTATCACAGTCACTTTACTTAATAAGCTTGTGCGAGTCATTTGGCTATTGTGGAGATGAAGACTGTAAAAGAACCTGACTAGAATAAAATATTATTAATTAAGCCTCATAATACCCTGAAAGATAGGCAAGTGATATGACTTTATAGAGACAACACAAATTGTCTTGTTCAATGTCACATTGCCTCAGGGGAATGATAATTTCATTGAACTAACCTAGAGCTTTCAGTTGGGCTTCATCTGGGGAAAACACAAAAGTTCCATTTTCTCCTGAAGAGGAGAGGAAAATATCTTTTGTTTTTTATTAGTCATAGAGCTCAAATATCTTTAGTGCCCTCTGGTGTGCATTTCAGTGATCAATACATGTATAAAAGGAAAGATAATTGGCATTGATCTGAATAAAACCTTCAGTTCATCTTTCTGACTACTTCTAAACAAGCTTTCAACTTCCTAGGACAAGTAGGAGCTACAGTTAACATCTCCATGGCATTTATTGACTCAAAGCACCAGCTGGAATGGTAGGTTTCAGCAACTACCCTAAATATAAACATTAATAGAAAATATAGAATTTTGCTCTCTGTTAATTCAATTGACGCCATGAATTCAGTTCTCCTCACCTCTTGCAGTCTCTCATTTGACTCCAATAACACTACCAGAGCAGAGCCTATCCTCTTTGACTTCAATAATACTATTGTATTTTTATCTAAAAAGAAACCCAAATAAAGAAACCCTCTGTAAACCATTTCCACTTTTTCCACTTCCTCATCCATTTCATCTCTTCCTGCTTTGACACAGAGGGATTTTTACAGGAATAAGCTCAATGACCCGAGTAAAAATCATTGTTTCTCCCACTGCTGACAACTGAAATAATTCCTTCTTTGCACAAGAAATCTTAGGATATAGTCTCATGTTAGCCTGTATCTGACAAAACTCCAAATCACACATGCTGGATCTAGCAAGTCTATGGCCTTAGGGAAACCAGAAAAGCACCTGAAACAGGAGAAAGCTGTTAATTCTTATTTTTGGATGATGCTTATGCTGTATAAGTGACTGTCACAGCTGGCAACTCCCTGATTGTGAGATCTTATGCAAAGAAGATGGCATGAAGGATACCTTGGGGAGAAGTTTGTCAGCAGCACAACATGACACTGAATGAGCTGTAACAGTGACTGATCAAACCACAAGCCCAATTTTGGGCTCCCCAGTACAAGACAGACATTGATATAGCAGAGTGGTTCCAGCAGAGAGCTCTCCAGATGATCCACATGACAGAGCACAGGGTGTGCTGAGAGAACTGGGGTTTGGTTTGTTCAGCCCTCAGAAAGCTTTGGCAGCACCTTGCTGCTGTCTAAAACCATCTAACAGGAAAGTGTAGGTAAGAGAGACAAACTCTTGCAAAAGGTCTGCAGAGGCTGTAAAATCAATATATTTGAAGGTATTCAAAACTCAGCTGCACACAACCCTGAGCAATATGCTTGTTGAAGCTGCTTTGAACAGGGGGCTTGACTTGGTGTTCTCTGGAAGTCCCTTCTAACATCCCTTAGTCCAGGCATTTATTAAGTGCAGCAAGTCTTTTCAAATAATCATGCCAAAATGACTCCTACTGCATTTTTTCTTTTGAAAAAATCACTAGAATTTGAGTATCAAACCACAAAGTGCTTCAATTTGTACTTTTTAAAAGTAAGAACAAAACCTTATACAGGGAAAAAGTTCCATTTTCATCACTCATAAGTGACTGAAGTAACAGCTTGAAATGCCCTTGCTCAGCTGAGATATTTCAAACAGCACACACTCATCCACAAACCATTGCCCTTCACAGCTGATGAAAACCGTCTTGCCTGCTGGAGTGATCAGGACTGCTGGATCTGCCCCTCACTGAATTCTGAACAAAGCACAGCATGGACAAACCCATCCACTCAGGCAGAGCTACCACTGGCCAGATGTAAAAGACTGTGGCTCCTGAAATAACAGCACCAGCTGGAGAGGCCCAGAGAATGGCACACAGCTGACAGAACTCCAAAGCACAATGTTTGCCCCGCTCACAGCACGTTGTCTCTCAGCAACAGAGAGAAGCAGGCTAGGTATCCACACATGCCAGTCACTGGAAGCCAAATCTCAGTTAACTGAGATGTAGCATGAGTTGTGAGCCAAGAACAACTAAAGTGAGTAATACAGGACTTGATTCAGAAATCATATTTGCCTGGTGCCCTACTCACACATAACAATAATTTAGCTGAAAATAGAACAAAATATAGCCCTTACCAGCAACAATGAGAAAGATAAATAAGGTAGCTTTCAAAATTCATTTAGGCATAGATAAAAAGTAACACTTTGGAATGACTTTCTGGAGTGTAACCTTTATTCTTAAAATTTACTTGTAAAAATAACTTTGCATACTTTAATCTGTCTGTGTTTGATAGGCTGTTCAGTGGGGAATTACAACAAAAGCACAAATCTGCTTCTGACAGAAGCAAAGCTGGAAGTCAGATCTCTATTTATACTGAGATCATTCTTGCATCTGCAACATTTTGGAAAGTTTCCAAGGGGCTTCAGTGTATAAATTATCTTTCTCTTATCAGTACAGGTAACATCTGAACTTGAAACTAGACCTAACTTGTATTTAGAGCCATGGTACATAAACTTTTTAAAAACTACCTCAAGTGAAGAAACCAACATACTATGAAACACAAAGAAATTTGATTGGAAGCTAAGGAATGGTAAACACACGTGGTATTTACACCAAGAATTGGCTTCTGACTCACACTGTGCTCATCACATGGCTAAAGCAGCAATTACCACTCCAACCTCCAATCCACTTTGCCCGTGACAAAAAAGTACTGTGAACAACACATGCCTATAGTTTCTGCAACAGGATGTAAGGAATTCTGAAAATCTTCAAGAGCTTACTCCCAGAGGTCAGACTGAAACTTTGGAAATGTCTCAGACAATGAGGACTGAAGTGGGTCATCAACAGCAAACAGACCGGTGCAGGTGGTAACTAATTCAGCCATTCTTAATTCAAATATTAATTCCGGACACCTTCAGCTGTCCAGTTTTAACTGGGGGGAGCCCTGGTACCCTGGCAGTGTGACAGCAGCCCAGGTCACAACAAGCAGGGGCCCAACCTTCGTTCCTACCGCGGCAGCGCCCCCACCGCAGGGCCCTGCGCCGTCCGGCCCCTCAGAGGCCACTGCTCCGCTACAGGCACGAGGCGGAGACACAGCGAAAACAAGAACTTTAAAACCTGATTTTTCTCAGTTCTTGGGATGCTTTGAGTGTGTGACCAAAAAGAACCAGATCCCAACACACGAAGAGAAAGGTAAGGCGTAGTTTTTGACAAGCTGCAAGCCAGCCGAGGCAGCAGCTCCGGGCAGGACCAAGCCAACATGCCCGGGGGGGGCGGGACATCCCCCCCGTGCTGTGCGGCGGCCGCAACCCCGGGATCTGCGGCGGCGGCGGGGGGGACGCTACTTACAGCCCTGGTCTCGTACAGCACCAGCTTCTGCACGGAGCTGATCAGGGGGGCGGCGGCCGCCACCGGCATGGCGGGGGCGAGAGCGGCGGGGGCTGCCCGGGAACACGCCGGGAACAGCCGGAGCCGGGGGAGGAACACTCCGGGCTGAGCGGGGAACCACCGCCGGCACCGAGCGAACCCGGAAGTGCCGGCGCGCCAACGCGCAGGCGCGCCCACGGGGGGCCGCGAGAGCGCGCCTGCGTCGCGGAGCCGCGTCACGCGCGGCCTCTCGCAACGGCGGCTCCGGGCGCGGCGGCAGCGGCGACAGCGGCGGGGCACCGGGGCAGGCGAGGCGGCAGCGGCGGCACTGCATCCGCACTCGCTGCTCCCGCCGGGAACCGCTCCCCGCGGGGTGAGCACGGTCAGCACCAGGAACAGCTCCGCAGCCCCGCCCACGCCCCGCGTGGGGCGGGGCCTCTGCCGCTCCCTCCCGCAGGGGGCGGGACGCGGCCGTTGCCCGGGCAGCGGGGGCGCGCAGGGCGGTGGCGGCAGCGGGGGCGCGCACGACGGGGCTCCCACCGGGAAGGGGGCTCCCACCGGGACATGGTCCTGGGTGTGCATAGGGGGTGTGTGTGGGTGTGTGTGTTTGGTTTAATCCTTTGCTTTGGTTGTGGTGGTTTTTGTGAATTAGGAATTTGGCCCTTGTGAAGGTTTGGGAGGGAGCGAGACTGCTGGGAACGTCAGGTAAAGCTCGGCCGGTGATTTTCTGTCGGGGCAATGGGGAGTTGGTTCGCATGTGTGGCTTTTTTTCTTTTTTTAATATTAAAATGTTTAGTGCAAGAGTGTCTGAACATTTGGGTTTGGTGTTTCAAGACAAACTTTTTCAGATTCTCATCCTGAAGTAGATTTTTTTTTGTTGAAATTTTAAATTTAGTTTAAAACTGACAGGGAGTTGTGTTGGGCTGTGCTGGATTGGGTGGTTGAATGTGGGTTTTGCTGAGGCTGTGACACTAAAGTGGCCCTCTAAAGACGGTGGAGTTTTGTTTTGTCTTGTCTTTTTCAAACAAACTTCAGCAAGCTCCTCAGGTTTTGGCCTCCATTTTGTTTGAAAGGTCCATACAAATTTTCCTCCAACTTATCTTAATAAGAAATTTGTTTAGGTTTTAGTTTGTTGTGCAGCGCTGGGCTTGCTACTGCCTGCATTCCTGGAAGAGCTGGGATTTGTGAATAGGCTGATGGAAGAGATCAAGAACTGTGATTTAATTCCACAGAGTCTTGTCTATGTACCTGCCTGTGTGGACACAGAGAGTAGTTCCACTGAGCATGACAGGGCCCTTCTGTGTCTGATGCACAAACCCAAAGATCTTGGGAGGCCCATGGCACATTTCAGGGACCAGAGAGAAGTCACAATTGTGTGGTAATTGGAAAAGGAAATTAAAATCAACAAAACAACCAAAACAGAGCAACAACCAATATGAGACTCATGAAGAAGTCATCAACAGCTTGTGATCAGGGGTTGTTCCAACAGTCCTTTCTTTTTCATAAGTGGATTTTCTCTCATTTGATGGGTGCATTGTTTGTGTTCTGTAAATGCTTTTTCTTCTTATAAAAGTTTTCTCTTTTACAAATCCATTTACCTTGTAATTCACTTCCATTTTAAGGTAATTTTACACACACGTAACTACTGTACTTTATAACAAATTCTTTTTTTCTTTCTAGCCTTAGAAAACACATGGATTCACAAGAGGAAAAACAAGCTCAGCCCTTTACAGACATCTTTGATGAAGATGAAGCTGAAAGATCTTTTCTGTTGTCCAAGCCCACTTGCTTAATTGTCTTTGGAAAGCCAGTAAGATGTCTGATGGATGTGGTTTTGTCAGATATTCTGATAACAATTTTACTTTTCCTTTCAAAACATTAGTTTACCAGTGCTATCAAAAGGGTCAAATACCCACTTTTTGGATTTTGCCGCTTTTGAAATCCTGCAGAGGATGGTAAAAATGCAGGTCTTATTTAATAAGACCAGCTTTTGCCTTCAGTCAGTTGTGATTAAAAATGTTCTTACTGTACTTAAAAGTTACACATTGCTCAAAACATTTCTTCTCTTTTGACATTGGCAACTGGATTATTTCTATTTTTGTGGTGGTTTAACCCCAGCTAGCAAGCAAACCCCACACAGCCTTTTACTCTTTCACTCACCCTGGTGGGGTGGGACAGAGAATCAGAAGGGTAAAAGGGATAAAATACATGGGTTGACAAAAGCCATGCACATGAACAAAGCAAAACAAGGAATTAATTCGCCACTTCCTAGGGGCAGGCAGATGTTCAGCCATCCCCAGGAAAGTAGGGCTCCATCAGGCTTTGTGGTGACTTGGGAAGACAAATGCTATCACTCCAAAAGGACTTCCCTTTCCTTCTCTTTCCCAGATTTATATGCTGAGCATGACACCTTGTGCTTTGGAATATCCTTGTGTGTCAGTCAGAGTCATCTGTCCCAACTGTGTTCCCTCCCAGCTTCTGTCCACCCTCATTTTCCTCACCAGTGTAGCAGTGTGGAAAGCAGGAAAGGCCTTGGCTCTGTGTAAGCCCTGCTCAGCAGTAACAGAAACATCTCTGTATTACCAACACTTTTTTCCCTGCACAAATCCAAAGCACGGCCCCACACTAGCTACTTTGAAGAAAGTTAACTCTACCCCAGCCAAAACCAGAACAATGCTATTAAAATGTTTTATTTTTTAATAAACTTGATATATTAAAGACATAAATTGGTGTAAAATAACCTTCAGGTTAATGTACTGACTTACAGGCATGCAATGAGATATTACAGATCTTAATATTAAAACTTTGACAAAATTGTATCCTATATATTTGGAAACATTCAAAATCCACTGAGGTGTCCTGATAAAAGGATCTATACTACCTTTTAACTCTAAGGCAAGTCTGTATTTTTCTCAACTAATTTGTGGCCTCTTGATGTTTTGTAAACCTAAACTTTTCAGATTTCTTTTTTTCCCCCAAATATGAGTTTGCATTATTGCCTCAGTTTGCTGAAGAGAGTTCTTTTTTTTTGATACAAGTTTGTCTTATAATGTGTCTTATGCACTTGTAAGAGTGCACTCAGCTCAACAGAAAACTACAGTGAACTAACTCATCTAGTTTTGAATGAACATCAAAATTTTAACCTTGCATGAGAAAGGTAACTTTATGTTTCATAGACCAAGCCACCATAAGATGCTCATTGAAAGACAGTACAAAACATTCTCATATTCTCAACCATTGGCTTCAGTAGATGCTTGACGTCAATATAACAAGGTATTAAAATTGTACAGACCTTACCAGAAAAGCAGGGAAGAAAATAGTTTATTTTTATGGTAATATCTTTTATATATCTGACTGATGTGCAGAGTACCTATCCTATTTAAGATATATCTTTTGAATTAAAAACATAGTGCTGTTAAAGCAAAGCCAAATACATATATTCTCATCACACCTGTAAAATGTAAGGTATGAGTAGGCTGGAGTGTTTGTTGATAAACTCTTAACTGGGAATGCAATTTATTTGTTGAGTTTTGTTATTTTTTATCATGAAATTTATCAAGGAAAAAAATTGTCCTGTCAAAACAGGTCTTCTTATATGCCCTTCTAAAAAAAGGGCACAATCCTAAGGGTGGAAGATGGTGAGTTTTGCAAAATCCCATTCAGTTAATCACTCTTGGAAGCCTTGTAGCTCTCAGTTATGTTGGTTTTCCTCTGGATTCATGTAAATTACAAAGATTTTGTCAGTATCTAACCAGATTTGTGGACTTACAAGGGCAGTTTTTAAGCATTTGTCGTTTTAGTAAAAAAATATTATCCCGATGTATCCTACTCAGAAAGGGTTGAGTAGCTTTCCATCATAATTTGCATTGAGGCTGAAGATAATACATCTTAGTCCTAAGGAGTTCCTCATAGGAATTTGTGGTCAAATCATAGCTGAGTTTTACACAGAGTTACACAGAAACAAAATCAGTATAATGACTTTGGAGATAATTAGCTACGAGTAGCAGCATATTAGCAATGCTAGGCAATATGAAGCAGAGGATGATATTAAAAAGAGTGTTTTGTGTTTGCCCAATGCATAACTCAGAGGCCCTAATCCCAGTGGTAGATTTTCATTGTTTTTATCATGTGAAAATATATTCTTCATTGTGTTACATGTTTGGTTTTGTTCTGTCTTTCTTTTAAAAGTGTATTTTTAATTTTAAGGGTTCTGGAAAGAAAACGTTAGCTAGCAAACTAGCACAGAGATGGAACTGCATTTTCATAGAAGGTAAACACATGCTATATTTGGAACATTGCTTTGGCTCCACAATAGCTTTACTGTTCCCTGTAATTCAAAGGACATGTTTCTGATTGCAGCAAACACTTCTGATAAGACCAAGTAATCATTTTACCAGAAATAAAATTACTGATCATGGTCTTTCATTTATTGAAAGGCTTAGAAAAATCACTGTGGGGGTTTTTTTTAATCATAAATTCTATTCCAAATCCTGTAAGGGGGTTCCTGTGACCCTTTTTGTTCACACGGAGGCAACTCATTCAACTCCAAAGAGTACAGACATTTTCCAGTGCAGACCATGAAAAAATAGGAGGCTCTTTCCTTTCTATTTGTGCAGTGTCCAATACAAGGGGGTGTACTTCAGGAAACAGAGTTATTTATCAAATGAAGTACGTTTACTTTTGAAGATTTAGGGTTGTAACATGGTAAAAATCACTTTTAATGAAGAGGTCTTTTGGCTTAGATATATATAGAATTTTTATATCATAGTATTGTATAGCAGGAAAAAAAGTTAATACCTGATCCAAGACATAGATCAGGCCAAAATCAGAACACACTTCTTCTTAATTAATGCACTTCTTAAGGAATGTACTTAAGCCAGTTCACTCTGTTTGAATGTATTTAAATCAGTACTGACAAATGTTCATCAAATTTGTTTTAAAAAATGTCTAGGCAGTCTTTCTCTGTAACACTCTCTGCCATTAGAAAGTTTTTCTTAGTAACCAATCTAAATCTCAGTTACTGTGCTTTTAAGCCTTATTTCTAATTCAGGGAATTACTCTTCTCTTATTTTGTTCATGATATTTCTTTTAATCTTCTTTTAGCTAGTGAATGCACACATGTGTACACACTTACTGTTACTTATGCTAGTAAATTGTTTTCATTTTCTACATCAAAAAAGGAAGAAACAAATAAATTCAGCATGCATAAACATGAATAATTTCATTCAGAAAGGACCTCCAGAGATGACTGAGTCAAACATTCCTCTCAAAGTGGGGTCAACTAGAAAGGGCAGCTCAGTTCAATCTGGAATATCTCCAAGGATGGAGATTACACCTCCTCCCAGAAAAACACTTTGCAATGTTTGACTGCCTTCTTGATGAAAAATTGCTTCCTAATTACCCCCGTTCAAATTTCTAATGTTCGTATTCGTGTCTGTTGCCTCCTGTCCTAACTGCACTCTGTGATGACCGTGGGTGTGTCTTTGTGACCTCCCAATAAATAGTTTTAGATAGCAGTAAGAGCTGTCTGGTTTCCTCCAGGCTGGACAAGGTCAGTTCTTTTGGCCTCTCCTAGGCTGTTCATTTTCTGCTGGTTTTGGTGTCCTCTGCTGAACTTGCTCCGTAGTATCAACATCTGTCCTGTGCTGGGTTAAAAATAAACCGACAGAAAATTATTGGATAGGAAAGATGTTTGCAATCTTATTAATGATACAATACTTTCTATTCATTTATCCAGTGAATTGGTCAATACTCATAAATAAAACAGGGCCAGGGTGCACACAGATTGCTGATTTTCAGTTGCCTGTATTGTTAATTAGTACACTCCCTGTCTCAGTTTTGGCCCATGGCAAACATTGTTCTCTCGAACACCTGTCCATAGTATGAAAGGTAGGATGTGCAACCTAGTAGGAGCAGTTGGAAAACAGCCACTGTTTTGAGAGGAAAGATTAGGGCTATATAGTCATGGGTCACCTGGATTCAGGACCTTTCCCTGGCCTGGTTTATTAGTAATATAAATGTAGCTATAAGAGTCATTCTTGGAAACTTTTATACAATGTCTGATTATTTAATTCATACAGAAATGTGAAAGACTTCTAGGGTCATTGTAGTATGATGTCACTATCCACAGAGACATAGGGCAGTCTTTGAATTTGATGGATGTCACTTTTCTTAAAGTAGATGATTTTGTGTGTCTAAAGAGTTCTTCTAAATCTCTAAATTGGTTTTTAAATTTAAAGAGTGATTGAACTCAAATAATCATCTCTGGATTACAAGACAGTAAGACTGATTGAATTTAAATAAGTAGTTAAAATAATCCTGCAAAACTGCTGTTGTGCATGTGTTTAACCCTGTATATACTACACAAAACTGGTTTTGTGTAGTATATACAGGGTTAAATTGTAGGAAGAAACACCTACCCAGTCCTTGCCATAAGGCACCAGGTTCTGGATGGGCAAAGTATAATAATGGCCCTAAGTATAATGGCTTCTCATTCAAAATAGTCTGGTTGCTTGGAGCACACATAGATCCTCCTGTGTGTGTATGTGTATGTACATATATATCTGCAGGTACAAGTCTGTTTAGAAAATATTTTGTACTAATTATTTTTCTTATGTTTGATATGCTTCCTTAGCCTCAGAAGTAATTAAAACGAATATTCAACAAAGATCAGAATATGGACTTCAGGTAAAGGTCTAATCTTCTAGTAAGTTTTGTCACATTTTTAACAAACACTTACTATAAAAGACTATGTTTTGCATTTTACCCTAGTGTCAAAAATTGCTTTGTGAAGGGCAGAGTATTCCTGAGGAATTGGTGACAAAAATGATTCTGCAAATGATTGAGTCACCAGAAGTTGCTCATTATGGTAAGTGTATTTGTAGCCTAAACTTCTTAGAATGTACTACTTATAATTTTACATCCATTTAAAATCTATTGGTGCTCAAATACAATTCTAGCTTTTTCTCATGCTCTTCAGGTTGTGGAATATCAATAAACTGAAAGTGTGTTTAGGGATTAATTTACCAATATGGGAGATCAGAAAGTGTCATACTGATCCTGTGTTGTGTTGATTTTGAGAAAATAATTTTCCCAAAATTTTAAGTGTTGATATGACTCTTATTTGACAATGTTATCTGTTCAGAATAGGATTTAAAATACAGATATTTTATTCTTCAATACTTCTGTAACAACAACATAACAAAAATCCATCAGCAAAAATCCATCAGCAAAAACATTTTAAGCATTTTAAACAATGTAGAAGAAGGAAAACAGATTACTGAAAATGCAAAGTATAATGGCTTTTTTTCCTCTTACAGAATTGTTTATTCCCTTTGCATTTTGTCACACAGAGTAGGATGGATGAGAATAGTAATGGTAGTGGCTATAACTCTACTATTTGAGGAAAGATTTTGAATTGAGGGTGTCAGGACAAGTGCTGCAGATCTTGCTAATGTCTGAATCTGCTTCCCAGATGAGGAAACAGATGTACTGCCAAGAAGAAAGGAGGTAAAAAGGAAATGGAGTTTCTTTTTCTTGTTTTGACTTTCATTTGAAATTTCCATTATAGGAGAGAGACGCGTGTAGTGCCAATGTTAGTTTCTACTGCTCTAAAAGCTAGCCTGCTTTTTAAGCTTTCAGTTGCAATGGGTTTTATTTCTTTTCTAGTACATGACTCAGCAGTTTTGCAAAATATACAGTCTTACCTGGTGAAGCCAGGCTTTTAAAACAGTATAAAAAAGAGAAATAGGGAAGAAATTTTTTAAAAAGAATTGCTGGAAGAGGTAGCAGCAGAAATGGCAGTCTCTTAATATGTATGTGAGGACTTTGGTAAAGGCATGAAGAGGCTTCTGTGTTATTGGAGTTCCCCTCCTTGAATCAGTCTGAAGATGTTTGTATCACAGAGGAGCACAGAGGTCCTGGAGACTGTAAAGATGACTGTAAAGTTGAATAAAGTTTGGTTCTTGTAGCCATGACACTTTTTGCATTACACATGCCCCAAAGCAGCAAGGAATAGAAAAACCAACTTCCTCACTATTTTTCCTACCAACTAGAACTGACCTCCAAAACCAGTTTTTGTTTTAGTATTTCTAGTAACTTTTTCAGTCAATTCACTTTAAATTATTCATTCAAGATTTTAGAAACTGTTGTATGAAAGATTGGGTTTTTTACCTTTGGTGTTGGTAAAATGCAAGTTTTTAAACAGTGTACACAATAAGTGTGTCTCAAAAGCTTCTTGGTAATCCCCTGGTTACTTTTTAATCTAGTTGATAGTTGCCTTAGATATACTTAATGATTTTTAGCCTCCTCACATTATTGATTTGGGAGCAAACACTCTCTCCAAGAATGGTTTTCCATGTTACCCTTCCATTTCCCTCACTTCAGCTGTTGTTATCTGGGATGTGTTGATAAGCAGAGGCTGTGCACGTTCTTCACACCTCACTACCAGTTAGAATTCTCTAAAGGTATCAACAGTTTAGAATCCAGGATTTTAATTTCCAAGAGGAATGACTATATTTTGCTATCCCTTCGTTATCTTCTTCTTCTCTTGCATCTATGGATTGTAGCTTCTATAGAAGTAGGAGTCTTCACTTCTAACACCTCTTGCAAAGACTGCTGCCCAGACTTGCACTTAAATGTTATCACATAAAATTGTAAGTGTGCACCATTTCTCTAAGTGAAAATTCTCACTATTTGGCTAAAAACATCCACCTGATTTTTGTTTAGTCTCTCATCCTGGCCTCATGAATATTGATTTTGTTGCTATTCAGTAGTTCTTACTGCATGCATACAGCCATCAGCAGTTACAGTACTTTCCTAGGAACTTGAAGCCACAAGTTCATCTGTGGGGCTGAGCACTGTAAAACTAGGAAAACATATTATTACCACTCTTGTCATGTCGAGCCAATGTCTGTTTGCCTAATAGGACTCAGCACTGGGAATCCTGAGTGAACTGGTGCTTACCAAATGATCCATGTGCATACCATGTGCATAGTGCCTCTGAGAGGCAGGAGAGTGGTTCAGACTCCCTTCATTAGATGGCAAAACATTTAAAGGTTGTGAAAAAAGCTTAGACTCCTAGTTTAATTGCTTTAAATTGTAGAGTGGCTACTCTTTGCAGTGCCTTTTATATCTAGTTGGGTGGGTTTTTTTGTTTGTTTGGGTTTTTTTTTTTTTTTTTGTTGTTTTTGGTTTTTTTGTTTTAGTTTTTCAGAATGCTGAACACTCACTTTATTAAAACTATACTAGATTACATTACAACTATATTAAAGAGGGATACTATACTATACTATACTATACTATACTTAGTACTAACTGAAAAGACTCGTGACTGTTTGCAGACCGACAGTCCACACAGCTTGGACCTGATAGGCTAATTAACATAAACAATCTTCACCAGAATCCAATTACAAAATTCCTTCAGGTAAACAATCTTCCCACACATTCCACATGTGTAAAACACCAGGAGCAGCAAGCAGAGATAAAAATTGTTTTCCTTCTGTGCTTCTCCAGGAAAAAGCCTGAGAGAGAGAATTATCTCTTTCTGTTCAGAGAATGCGAATCCCACATCTATGAAGCCTTTTAGTGGCAAAACGGGTCACTGAAAGCTTGTCACTTTTTAGGCACTAAAATGTCTGAGCTGGGTGCATAAAGCAAGTGGTCTGAGTCTAGTCTTTAATGTCTACATGTTTTTAATTGAGTTAACATATGTTGAGAGTACTCCATAAAGCAGAAAACAATACACTTTTTTTGTCTGTATTTCATCTGAAGCAAACATGAGTGCACAGTTTCTTTAATAGTGTTGTGTCATGTATGTGGTTTAAAATTGTACCACTACATGCATTGTTTAAAGGAGATGAGTATAAATAGCTCTATAATTGACAAACCCTCTTAAAATATGTTCAATTAAATGTATTTGGCAGGTTATGTTCTTACTGGATTTCCTTCTCTCTCGGAGGAATACTTGACTATTCCACAACAAATAGAGAAAATAAGGAATCTAAAATTAAAACCGGATTTCCTGATTACCATTAAGGTAATGTCATCTTCAGTAACTTCCTAGTATTTTTCCTAATTATTAGTAGATTCATATGCTATGCATGTCAAATATAATATTTTCCTCTGTATACTTGAGTACAGAATTCATTGAGGAATGATAAATTCTTCTCTTTATATTGGAATAGAGTTTCGCTGGTTTGTTCCATTATAAGCATTGATGAGGTAATGAACATGTCCTAGAAATTTAGCAGCAGTTACAGGTTTTGCACCTCCACCAATTAGAAGATAGAGGTTTTCAAGAAAGGGAATCTTTGAATTACATGATTATGATGGAATTTTTGACACATGTAATTTGCCACTTGTGTAATGCAGGAAGAAACTTCTCACATATGGAAGTTAGAAAGTAGTTAGAAAATAGTTGTATTTTTCAGTCACTAATTGTGAAACTGCTTAATTATTAATTCATCTTGTTTACAAATCTCAATTTCTTCATGAGCAGTGATGTGACATACCAGATATTTTACAAAATTACTCTGAAATAAGCAGAGAAACATAAACCATTGTTAGTGTGGGATTTAGAGGACTTTCTCAATGTAACTTAAATGAATGGAGTTGCTTGCTATGTCCACATTAGTAAGCAAAACAAGGCAAGAGGATCTCTTCAGACCTCGGGCCAGCTGCTTTGGCCAAACACTGCTAAGCTGTCGTGTTAGTTAGAATGGGGTGGCAGTGCCCAAACTGCCCCCAGGGAAAGGCCCAAGGCCTGTGCCACTCTCCAGATTGTGCCCAGCTGTTCACTGGGGGGGGTTCTAGCTGGCCCACACTGACCTGTGCCAGACTCCATCTGAAAAAAATAACCATATGTATAGTCGTGAACACATTTTCAGGCCCTTCCTCTAGCAGCGTTTTATTTATAATCAACTAGAGTCGTTTTGTCTTCTACTTTGAATGTGCAGAATGGGTTCTGAATAGTCAGCCTCTGGTGGTGTGCTCCATTCTTCCTGGGATTTTGATTCTACTTGGCACATCTATGTGTTTTTTCAGATGCTAAGCCTCTGGCTATGGACCAACTCTATCTCTTTGCAGATTTAACTCAGTGTTTGTTTAATCCCATACTCTTAAGACCTAATTTGCTTGAACATGCATAATGAAAGTTGGTGAATGCCTACTTCAGACCTTTTTTCCGTAGTCTCAGAAAGATCCTAAAACATCAACAAGACGTATTCTTGTCCTGCTTTTGGGGCAGATTTGATTTTTTCAGAAAGTCAGTCTTTGTTTTAATGCTATGTAGTGAGAAATCCCCGTTGTTGAGAATATGTGTTGTATAGATTCACGTGCAACAATACAAATAGAAGAGTGATGCTAACTAAACCAGAAAGAAAAATTAAATTCTTGACTTCATGTAGTAACACTATGTCCTCTGGGAAGAGGACTGAAACTAAATACACATTAAAAATCCTTGCCCCAAAGTCAAAGAATAACTTTGCTTTTAATTTCAGGGGATTGAAGCTGTTTTCACAGATATGTCAGAATTGTAACTATTTTCATTAGATCAAAACAAAGGAAGAAGGGAGATTCTAGATAACTGTGGCAATAATGAAATACTGTTACTAGTAGACCAATTTAGAGAAATTCTGTCTCTCCAAGAAAAAGATGTTATAGCAGTACAATAAACACAATTTCCTTTTAATTTTTCCTTGCTAGTGTCCAGATCATGAGTTATGCCAAAGAATATCAGGACAAAGGCAAAACCCTGATTCAGGGGTGATATATCAGAGGAGCCAGTGGGATCCTAAAGTTACTGACAAGCGTAAGAAAGAGAAAGATCGGGATGAAGAAGAGGAAGAAGAAGAAGAAGAAGAAGAAGAAGAAGAAGAAGAAGAAGAGCAGGATGAAGAAGAAGGAGAAAAAGATGAGGTAAATATTGCTAATTTCTAAACAGTGCAAAATATTACAGTGTACTTTAGACAAAGCAGAAAAAATTCTGATCTTCTAAAATATCACTATATCTTATGAATTTATTTTGCTCAAAATTAATCTTAATTCCATTTCTGTCCTGCTTTAAGAGATGTGGGGTAACACTTAAATAGTAGGTTTTTGTGACAGCAAATATTGATCACTGTATAGCTTAACCTGGGCTTAGTCTTTGACTCAAAATTCACTGATCTTGTTTCTTGCCATAAGTTAGAAGTGTATCAGGAGGAGAAGGATGGCTCTACGCTGCCTTTTCTTGATCTAGACAAATTAAAAGAATTCTTAATTTTTTGTAGCAACTTTTTACTAATATTTGCAGGACACTTACTTGTTTTCTGGCTTTGGTGTTATACTACTACAAATGGATTTTCTTTTTTTTCAGGAAGGTATTAGATTTGAATTCAGGTTAAATTTTTATAATAGGGAGCAGAGACTTACCAACCCAAGTTCTAAGTACACTGCTCTCCATTCATAGAAATAACACTTCATCAGAATAGGATCATGGTCAGCAGTCATTGGACTAATACTCATTGCAAGACTCTCCAAAGCTACTTTTTAAAAATTTGAGTGAAGACAAAAATTATTTTAAGACATTATTTCTGTGTCTTGAAATTTTGTTTTGCAGACTGGAGAAGGTCGACGTAAAAAAAAAGAACCTTTTTATCAACTAGTGCAGAGGCCTGAAGATTTTCTTGAAAATGCAGAGAAAAGAATTGGAATATACAAGGATATAATACGTCCTCATTTAGAAGTAAGAAAAAGCAAAGTAATATGATTATGCATAACAAAAGAATTTTAAAATATCTTACACTGTTTTCATTGGTTTTTTAGTTTGCGATTTGTTGTATTGAGGTGGTCATGCTACAACATATCCCAAATTCTGAAATTTATTCTGAAATCAGTGATAAAAAGTTGTCATCTGTAGGTGTTGTTTCTACTCTGCAGTCAAGATAAAGTAATCAACTTTGACTTCTAAAAGTGACACCATACCTGCCACCACAAATGCTTTCTAAATCTAGTAAGTGAAATATTTGAAGACTCCATTGTTTCATCACCATTACCAGAGTCCTTTCCAGAATGCAATCCCATAAATAATCTGCATCCATTGTCTTCACTGCAATAGATTCCCTTTCTCACCTGCTTCATTGCCTGCAGATTTATATACAGTATTTATATACAGTAATTAGCCCATTCGTTTTTTTTGCCACTTATTTAATTTCTGAAGCTATGACAGTTTCTTTCCCTGTTGTGTTCAGGAAAGTGGAATTACTGTATGTTTTCTATTTTGTTTTGTTGGGGTTTTTTGTTTTGTTTTTGGTTTTTGTTGTTGTTGTTTTTAATCTCTTAGTACAAGCAACTGCAAAATCTTCATGTTTGATGCCCATTTGACAATTACTGTTTATGCCTTTGAATTTCCCTGTGGATTAGTTAAACCTGTAGATAAAATTGTGTAAAAGTAGTGTAATGGTCTTTGCTAGAGTAACAAACTTCTTACTGTTGTGAAGGGGAAAACAAAAAATGTGATATCTTTAATTATTACACATTAATTTCATGTGGATTTCTTATAAGTGAGCTAATGGAAAGTTGTTTAGATTAAATTACTTTAGGATGTATACCACACTTCAATAGTTTCAACACATTCCACTAGTTGGTAGGGTTCACTTAGGGTTCACTAGCAATGAATATATTGGTGAAGATGCTTAGTGGTCCACTAATACAAAGAACACAGGGTTTTATCAATTGGCCCAGTCAGTGTTTGAGATGATTAAATTGAAATTGAAACAAAAAGCTTATGAGGTGTGCAGTTTGCACTGATAGGAAAATAGGTAGAATGAAATTTGGAGAACACATTTGGATGTCTTGATAAATTGTTGGGATTAAAATGACCTGAAATAAATGTGAATACTGCAGTGAGGGGAAACCTACTGAACAACTGCAACATGTGAAATAATTGGCTAGACCTCAGTACTTCAGACAGTCTGCCAACTGAGGGGATTTAGTTAGTCAAAACTAAGTCAATAAATGAAATGCTATTGTTTAAACTCAAATAATATGAATGTACTAGTAAGACTGTAAGACCATTGTATATAAGAGAAATACAAACTATTATCTTCTCTTTAGAGGAGTATTAGAAAGAATTAATTAGTTATTATCTATTTCAACCAAAGAGCAGATGATTTAATTTACAGTATAGAAGACAGACTAGATGAAATGAGCCAGGAAATGAGCTGTGACCATAAATATAGTGAAGAACTGGAACAGATTACCTGCAAAGGTGTAAAGTCACCTTCAATAGGACATTTTAGGCTTGGGGTTAGACCATCATTTGTCAGGAATGGAGTGAGTGTTCTCAGTCCTCAGAGAGAGGCATTAACAACCAACATGGGCTAGGTTTTTAGTCTAAGACATTATTGATAGTGTGAAAATTTCAAGCAAAAAAAGTAAAATATATGGTCCAAATTTTAAAGGAATTGGAAGTCAAAATTAAAACATTGGCCTCTTGACTGACATTTCTGAGAAATGTATTAATTGAGATTGTCTTCATTTTCCAGCAAAGAATTAAGGTAGTGAGACAATTAAAAGTTGAATTCATACACAAAATGTTACTGTATCTTGGTATTTTTTAGCTCTCTTGCATTTGAGCTAAGACTTCTAAGCTATCTTCTGAAGCCATTGTAACTTCAGTTTTGGAATTATCTCTGTATTTATCTGTCATCACATAAAAGTTAATCTCCAGAAGATTTTATAAACCATTAAACAATGAATCCTGATTTTGCTGAAGTGCCCTGGAGTCCAACCTTTGATATGTATGGAAAGAGAATGAGCCTCAGTGTCATTATCTGGTTAACTGTACTCATTTGACTGGCATGTTCTTTAACAGGGATTGTTGGCTTGCCAGGATTGTCGATGTCTTATTGAAGTGGATGGAAGTCAGGAACCAGATCATGTCTTGGAGGTAAGTAAACTATGAACCAGCTAAGTTAACCTTCACTAGAAAATAATTTCTCAATTCTGTGGATTGTTTTCCTGATGGCAAAATTTTAAGTTGTGTTTAAAACCTATTAATTTACTATTAGAAAACATGACTTTTGAAATACTTGCTTTCCTTCCTCTATTGGAAGATTCACTGCTCTGCTCCCAGGCTTACATATATGTTACATGAGAATATTTTTAGGCAGGCTGCAAACTTTTGTATTATGTCCATCTGATTTCACTGCTTTTTCTGATCTGTATTAATGTAAATTCTAATGAGAAATTAAAATATTTTTGGTATGGTATATTTGCAAAACTGGTTTATTTGATACTTGTGTCTAAAATATATTTTGCATAATGGAATATAATTTTTATTAATTTTGATATTGTTTTGCAATGTAGTTGAAGATCCTTGATTCTTGTAAGAATTCTGCTGAGTGCTTGTGTCTAGATTTTTAGCTTGTAACAGAGCAACTTGTTCTTCCTATTGAAAAAGCTACAATGATAAATTTTGAAGATAAATAATCTTATCCTCTGTCTCATAACTAAAAGTTGCTTCAAATCAGAACCTGGAGTATGGGGTTGAAAATTAAGCAGGAGATTGTTTTTGACAAGGTACGAAGTAAACTCCCGCATTTTCTCCTCTGTTTGAAATAAATTGTATTATTACAATTCTCTAAGTTATTATTTTAGTGTATGCTTAACTCTACCATGAATGGCCCTATGGGGAAAAAAAACCAGTCATTTTGCAACATTAGAAGATACAATTTCCTCATTTATGATCCATTTGGGAATGTTGCAAGACAAAATTTATATTAAATGCAGTCAAGTTATGTTATGATTCCAACCATTTTACCTACAAGTAAGGCAAAGGCCTATAATAAAACTAGCCCAAACATGACAAAATTTGCTTTTTCATTTCAGGAATATTTGCATTCAATCAATATTACATTCAGGAAACTATTCAAATAAACTTAAATATCATCTGATTCTCATTGGTAGACATTGGTATATATACCTTTCAAAATAAACTACCCAAAGTTGTATTGCTTCTGAATGTGCCTAATCTGATTTCCCAAAGATATTTGCCTCTTTTTCCAATTGGAGCTCCTCTGAGTACTTGCCCTGCCTTGGGGGAACCTTCACGGTCTTGTCCTTTAGTAGGCTTGGGATTCACAGCATAATGAGGAGACAGAAAAGCTGTGATTTGGCCTTTTGCACTGCCTGTATCTACCAAATAGCTTCTTAAAATTCAGCTCAATAACTAGTATGAGTCTGAGTTAAAAACTGGGCCTTGGTTTTTATATAGCCATTATATAAACAATAAGTTACAATTTTAAATAGATTTTTAGGGGCCCTTCTGAAGATAAAAGCAGTTCTGATTTATCATTGTTGCTGCTAGAAATGAAGGGATGGGACTATATTCGAGCTAAGAACAATTTATTGCTCAGATAAACATCAATTCTAGAGGAGCAAGCATTCAGCCATAGCTCCAGAGTAGTCACAAGTTTCTTTGTTATAAGGCAATATATAATTTTTAATAGACAGTTGCCACAGGATTTATTTTGCTTTTCTAACCTATCACCTTCACTTACTTCTACTGCACTGCGGATGCTTGTATCCAATGGACTTCTAGCTCACAGGCACACATATTATATATGTGTGCTTCTATTATAACTTCTAAACTCTTAGCTTACTCTGTACAACCACACCCTTACATTATAAACCCTTCATTTTCTCAGTACAGTTTCTCCCTTACTTAAGGCATATTCTCACCTACAACTATAGAAATTTAAGTTTATGACTTTTCTGCTTAATGTCTGTGTATTGTACTTTTACATCAATCTTAGCTTCTTCTGAGGCTGCAGATCAAATCCTTCAGTGTCTGTGGAAGTTTCTGTTTTTCTGATTCCCACACTGATTGGTACTAAATCAAGACTTATTTTATTTTCAGACAGTGGTAGGCCGACTTGAGTCTATGGAAGTTCAAAATGCAGCTCCTGTAGTCAGACTCCAAAGTGAACAAGAAGAAGAAACGCTGGAGGGAAAGCAAAACGTAAGTGTGCTTTTCTAAAGTGTGACTGACTGTAATAACTAGAATTACTTTTCTGCTGTAAGCTTATATTACAGCATCTTTGTTTCAAAACAACCAGCTTGTTTTACAAGTGGTTGTAAGAGCAGTAAGAGCATTCTGTAAGCATTGGCCTTTCAGAAATGAGAATTTAAAGTCATTTTGGGACTGAAGTCCACTTAAAAAGTATGAAAATAAAAAAAACCCTGTGATTCCCAAAAAACCACATAATAATTATAATAAAACTTTGAACAGAATGTTTCTTTTAGTAATAGAGGAAAAATTAATTCCTTCCAAGGAAATAAAGAAACTTTAGCCAAAGGATAACAATCTCAGAAGCTGACTCTTAGCTCAGTCTACTCTTTTCCTGAATAAGAATCAATATGCTAATCCAAATATAGCAACATTCTGCCTGAGATTACATTTGTTCTATTTTCCTGTAATTAATTAGAAACATGAAAAGTTACTCACGTTACTGCTGAATTTTGCTGAATCATTGCAATTATAATTTGTGTCCCTTCCAAATAAACCTGAAAATCAGAAGTTTTGCATGTATGTCGTCACCTTTATTTAGTTCCGATCATCTTTCCTATTTCTGAAACAAAACTCTGAATATATGAATGGAAGTGTAATGAGGAGACCACACATTTTCACAGAAATACCCCTCCCTTCACTTTTCTGTTTTCTCAGTTCACAAATTCACAAGTGAAAGACTTTCTCTGTCAGAGGTCATCTATATTTATTATTTAGTTAGTTTGTGTGTTTTTGCTTGTGTGTAAGCTTTGAGTAACCACAGTACTCAGGGCAAAGATTAACTGAACATTTTGCACAGAATTGCTTCCCTTTGTGTTGAACTTGCAGCTTTTTAGCTCAGTGTCCTCCAGTATGCAGAAGTCAGTGAATAGTTTGGTTTTCTACATCTGCCCTCTAATAACTCTTGAGTTCAGATGTCTGTCCTGCTCTTACGTAGCTATACTGAAGAATTCCAGTCTGTATAATTTTATTCCTTCTTACACAACAAGCTTGTTGTGGGATTGATCAATTATATTACCTTTTTCTGAAACTTATCCAATTTTGCTGTGTCCTTTCTGAGATCAGGACAGCAGGAGGCACGTTGCAGTAAAGACAAGGGCAATATTTAAACAATTTAAACACAAACCTTTATCATCCATTCTCTCTGTGCTCAACATTCCTAACATTCAAGTTGGTTTTCTGACTGCTCTTGGCCATTGAAAAAATGCTTTCACAGAGGGATCTATTTCTGACTAGTGACAGTCAGTGAAAATTCATAGCTTCTGTGTAAAAGTGCTATTTTAATGCCTGCCTCTACTGGTTCTTAAAGTTCTTCTGAAGCTCCTCACAGCCAGCACTTGTCCGTACTATTCTGAATTTAGAGTCACCATGACTTTAGGATTCACTCACTATTCACATTCTGTGAAACGGCTATTAAACTTTTTCCTATCATATTATATTTCTGCATGGCTAAAATAGATATTTTAATATTGCTATTCCCTGATCCAGATAATGGTCCTTTTTCAAACCCTTTAGAGGAAATCTTAGCCATTTTCCTTTGTTTTCAATAAATGGCTCTTTACCATTTCAAACTTTTAAAAATAATAAATAAAGCCTACAGGAACTATTTTAAGTACTATTCCTTTAAGTACTATTCCTTCCTTCAGGTCTTTTAAACAGACCTGAAAAATGAAGTAATTTCTCTTGAAAACTGTCCTATAATTCTGAAATCATTTTTATTTAAATGTTAAAAAAACCATAATGTGTTTTTCTTTTAAGTTAGCTTATTTTCCATCAAAAGGTTTCAAAAAAGTCTAATAAAAAAGGCATATGAAGCTTCAGACAAAAATTACACTTGCATTTATTGCTATTTTAATAAACAGGATGAACTTCTCCGGGCTCTGTCATCTTACAAACTGATAGCACCCAGATACCGATGGCGTAGGAGCAGGTGGGGACAAGTGTGTCCCGTGGCTCTAAAGGAGGGGGACATTGTAATGGGAAACCCAGAGTTTGCTGTCAGGTTAGTGGAATTTATCACCCTTAATTTTCATATCTATTTTATGGGATGTCTGTATCTGCTAGCTTCTCTTCTGTTTTAAGTTTTCTAGGTAAAATGTACGTACTGTCATGCCAAGAGGCATTGAACAAATTTGTGTTGAATCCACGGCCTTACCTCTTACCTCCAATGCCAGTTCCTCCTTGTAAAGTGTTCGTATTTGGTCCTCCATTCTCTGGAAGAACAACTATTTGTAATGAAATTGCACAGAATTATAAAGGAAAGGTAGGTTCATAAATGTCTTAGGTAGCAGAGTATCAGCTGGGCTTGGCAATCAGTTAAGCACGTTCTTGTCATGTTATTAACATTCACATTACAAATATAGGGATTACAGAGGAAACAGTATTTTAGTGAAATTCGTTTTTTTTATAAAAGTAGCTACAGATCAAGAATACTTTTATATATCCTCTTATATTGCAGTTATCTTAGTATTAGAATACTATAAATAACTTTGTATCTAAGATAATTAAATATAAATGCAAATGGAAAATCATTTCTTTTTCAAGAAAACCCCAACCCTGCACTTGAATTACATGTAAATTTTTCTGAAATCTGCAGAGCTTTTCTAAAATCATTTTATTTTATAAATATTGGAACAGATGCTATATTTGTCTTCTGTGATATTTGTATTTTTTCAAATAATTTCACTAGGTTCTTGATATGGACATACTCATTCAACAATATAAAGAATCAAGAGAGAAACACACTGAGGAATTGCGAAAGGATGCAGTAGAAAAGGCTATAGAGGCAGTGAAAAATAGATTGGAATCAGAAGAACAATCAGAAGAATCAGGTGAATAAGCTGTTCTGTGGTCTTTGAAGCTGTCTTATTTGCTTTACATCATTTAACTTCAAAATAATTGTAGTTGTTGTGCCAGCAATTAATAAGAAAATGTGGAAAAATATTCATGTTTTGCACATCATAGGGAATGCAGGCTATTTTATTGTTTAAAATACACTGCCTTGATCTAAAATTTGTATTGGTTGAAAAACTAGTTTGGTAAACCTTTTGATTTAGGAACTGAAGGGAAATCAAATAAATGGAAATTCTAGCGTGCTCTAAATGCCTGATTATTCTGGCACAGAAATGTCATTCTGTTTATATTGAAACAATATTTAGCTTAGAGGTGGAAAGTACTGTACAGTTAAAAATGTTGTGGTTTTGATACTGAGAGAGCAAACCAAGATTTTAGTTTATGAGACACATTCTCCATCTGCATTCAGAACTGCTGTTTGTTTCTTTCTCAGAGCAATTGTGTATTGGTTAAAAATGTATGCTGTGCTGAAGTTATGATATAATGCTTTATTTAAATCCTGATTTCAAATTTCTCTGTGAAGTTCATTTAAAAAATCTATGGTGTTAGGGATACCAGAGATAACTGCTGACCACCCAGAAGTTCAAGCCATGGTAGAAGGAGCCATGAAAAGCATGTCGTTCTCTGACGATACAATGTTATCTCAAATGTACGCTGAAGCACTGGAGGAAGCTATTGCAGGGGTGAGACTACAAGTAGTATATAGCAAAGTACATTTTTCCTAAGAGGAACTTCTAACAGTTTATGCATTATCCATATACGTTCTTAGTTTTCCCATTTGAGAGATCAGTTTCATTTATATCACATAGCCCAAAAGCTTACATAGGATTGAGGAGACACTGAGGAAGATAATGAAAGAAAAATCTAATGAGGACTATTTTATTGTCCTTTATATATAATAAAAATATGTGTGTGCATGTGTATATATATATTCACACACTTATAGAGAAATTATTTCTGTCTTTCAAATTACCTGAGCTACAAATTGTTAACAGCTGGGAGAATTATCTGACAGATCATTGTCTGCTTGCTCTAATCTTATATTTGTAGTCACTATTAAAGAACTGAACACCAGATGTAAGAGTTTCAAAAGAATTGTTTATGAAGATCTATACAGGAATCCTTAAATGTTTTGAATTTGTTCAATAGTATGTAACTATTGAAACTGGAGTGTAAATTCTTTATAGGCAAGCTTAAAAAATCACTATGACATTAGTTTCTTCTTGTTTAAAATGTTTCTCTTTTCATTCAGACATACAAAGTTATAAATGTCTTACTTTTTATTGACCTGAAATGACAATAAGGAAAAACCATAGCATTTAGAAAGTAATTTTGTATTGTGCTGTCCTTTTTGTACAGCTCATTTAAGTCTTTTTATATTCCTGAATGTGACATTTTCTAACAGCTTATGAAGACTAACAAAGACAGGTTTCCTGGTGCTTCAGAAAGAGGAGGGTGGGTAGTGGATAACTACCCTCTGTCAGAAGACCACTGGTCAGCCTTATTAGCGAAAGGACTCCTACCTGACACGATTGTCTGTCTGAAGGATACACAAAAAGATGGTTAGTAAAGGCACCCTAATGCAACTTTATACTTTCTTTCTTTTTTTCTGTGTTGATATCTGTATATAAAACATACTTGTGAGAAAAACTAGTAGTTATGTCCCATTTATAAAGCTTCAGGGTCTGGAGAATGAATCATCCAGTGAATCAACAAGAGTACCACAATTTCTTACAATTTGGAGTTAGGGAATTACACAGAATTTAAACCAGGAATACTTTGCTATAACAGCAAAGAAGATTTCTCCCATTTTAAATCAGTTTTCATTTTTCTCCTATTTACAACCAGCAGGAAATACCAGTAGACTCTTGTAGCATCAGATTTTTTTCTATTCTTGGCTGGCTGGCTGGCCACCACCTTGCAATGTGGCTCTTGGTCAAATTTCTCTGCCTTGGTTTGCCCATTTGCAAAATCAGGTTAGAGGTATGAAATTTCTCAGCTTGAGAGAAGAGGCAAGGGGGGAAATACTTGTATGCAGGGGTACCCTGTTCTCCATTCTGGGATCAAAAATTAACCCCAGTAACTTCCTACCCAGATGGATACAGTGGCTTCGTATCCATGAATTCAGAGTAAGGGATTTTTACTTTATTCTTTCCAGCCAAAAGGAAGATTGGCACCAAGCATCAATAACTGAACATATTCATGTACTGTTAAAAGTTTGTCAAATTGTGTCTTCGTGGATCATATTTGCTTGATTCATACCACACCACAAGTTTAATTGATCATTGGCAATGTTTGATCATTCCCTGTTCAACCCAGTCCATTATCAAAAAAATCTCTTTCAGTGGCAGAAACTTCCATTGAAGAAAGGCATGATGGCTCTATTCCCATATAGTTCAAGACAACTCATTAGGTGCCCAGCACTGGAATCAGTCCAGAGATCTTCAAACCCTTGTCCCTGAATATAAAAATCAAGCTGAGAAAAACAAGGTTACACAGTTTACTCAGAACAGATTTCTTATTTAAAAAACCCCAAATTTTCAGAAGTATGTCAACTGATCAGCAAATCATCCTCACGACTCAGGAATAGTACCTAAAGAACTTAGTCACATAGCTTTGTGAAATTTTGTAACTAAAAGTGTTTCAGGGTGACCAGAGCTCACACACAGATTAAATACTGGCTGAACATTTCTATGAGAAAGCTCTAGATCCAGTGTTTGTCAGAAAACTGTATTTGCAGAAGCAGTCATTTAAGACTTCATCTCAGACACTTTTGGAAAGAACCTAGAGGCAAATTGCTTTTCCATTCCTCATCTTTGCTTCCCAGCCATTCCAAGCTTATTGAAAAGTTCATGAACCTTGTTTCTGGGACATAGTGCATTGTCCTTTCATACAACCACAAAAAGCATCTCCTTCCTGTAGTTGGGATATGGTAATGAAATGTCAATACTGTGTGCTAAATAATAAACATCAGGAGTCTACCTCTAGCCTGAACTGCAGGGAGAGCAGTGAGGTGGGAGAGATGCTTTCAGAATTATATTAAATTTCTCTTCACTTCTCAGAATTTAACAAATTAGTGAATTAGTTGGATAGAAGAAAAGGTTGTCTCTTTTCTGGTCAGTAACTACTTCTTTTTTTAAAAATATATTTTCTTTTTTATTTTTTGTTTTCTGAAGGGAAGAATTTGGGAATTCATAGCAGAGGCTTTCAAATTAAGGCCTCTCTAGAGCCTGCCTATTCTGTGCTTCCTTCCTGCAATATACACCTCTGCCATTTCCACTAGTTCTCAAAACCTCGCTCTGAATTACTTGCTCTAATATGAATAACCTATTTTATACTCTTGGTAGTATAAAAATTTGGCTGAAAATGTAGCTTTTTGCTTAGGGATACATTTCCTTGAATTTAGTTATTTTGTTTCACTTTATTCTTTTTATTTACACAATTGTGTTGACTCTTTACTTGATTCCCACTTGTTTCTGTCATTTAAATAATTATGTAGTTGTGAAGTTTACATTTTCACAGCATTTGAGTCATTACTTTGAAATCTGTTCCCTGACCTAGTCTAAGCTCTCATAAGTCCACTGATGAAAACAGGTTTCAGCACACAGCCATAAATAAATCTATTTGTCAAAATAAATAAATCAGTAGAGTTCCTAGTAGGAACAGCATACTCTTAATTTCTGCTAAACAGCTGCAGTAGTAGAGGTATGCACATTATTTATATTTTTATTTGAATGTTTTTCATTTGTTTCTTCATAGCATTCTTTGTGCACTTGCAAATAAAATAAATGGCAGAGTAACACATGATATATGAAACTTTAAGACAAATCATTTCAGTTCTGTCTCCTTTTATAGCCTTCATAACCTTCCAATATTCCAGACTCAGTTTTTTAGGTGCTTTAAATTGAAAAAAGCTCTAAAATTGCATAAATCACCAGCGTCATAACAGTTCAGCGGTATATATACTTTTTGTTGACTTTAAAAGAAATCTGTCAACAATTTATTAATTGATATTCCTAAGACAATGACTTTAGTTTTATACAGACGCATTAAAGTCATTACTGTCATACAATTGTGCTGCAGGAGCCTGTATACTGCGCAGAGCATATCTAGCAAGTAGGAATGAAAATAGTTCTAAGAGTTTGGAAGAACCAACACATGAAGCATTAGAAAAGAAAGAAGATGATGCAAGGTAAAATATTCCAAATATCTGAATGTATAAAATGAGCACAAGAAAATTCTAGCCTCAATTTGTGTTAAAGGTATCAGTGCATTTATCGCACAAATTAAGTAAAGCAGTACACTAAGACTAGTTATCATATACAGGAAATAATCCAATATCTGTTGTCTTTGAGGAATATTTCATTTATATCAGTACATATGGTGGCAGTAAAATCTCTTTGTAAATGCTTTTTCATTAGCCTTTCATTAGTCCAACCTTTTAATGCAATGAGACAAGAAAATTTTAGATAATAAAATACATATGATTTTTATTTTTTACAACCAAAATTATATTTCCACATCTTTACATTTAATATATCTGCAACTTGCTTTAGTAATATTTGTAATGGTCTTAAGATAAATAAACTTTTATTTACAGCGGAGGAATGGAAGAAACACTGACATCAGAGAAAGATCAGTCTCCAGCTGCTGCTGAGGAGAAAGGTGTGTATCATTTGACTTCTGATCTAATTATGTGTTTCAATCACTTAGTGGTTTGATTTTCCAGTTTTGATTTCCTTTTTTATATTCAGCATCTAGAAAAATGACTTTTTGTTACTCTCTTCACTGGTACTCTCTTCACACATTTCTTTGTGTCATTCCTCACGGATGTTGCAGAATAGAGATGGTTTCCATTAAATCAGCCAGCACTGTTGCAGTTTTCAATAAATCCAAAGGATGGGATTCTATCTCCTCTAGTAACTTTTCTAAGTGGGTTATTAACTGTCTTGAAACTACTCATCAAAAAATCTGTAGCTCTTTAAAAGTTACAAAGCATTGCTGGAACTTAGTCAATAGTTAATGAGAAAATCACAGCATTGTCTGATTTTCTGGTCTTCCTTCAGTTAGCTCAACCTGAAGTAATTAAAAGGGAATGGAAATCAGTTCATCAGTGTCTTTCTTAACATGCATTGGGAATTGCTCAATCTGATAGCAACACACATTATGAATTGCTGAATCCAGAAGCAGAGGTGAGGCTGTAGCAGCTCTGTGTCCCCAGGACCATGCAATGAGTCTGAGCATATATTCCCATTTCCCTGTCATCCTCTTCTTACTCTATTATCCATGCTAGTGGATCCAATCCACTTTGATCCTTCCTTCTCCTTGCCTTCTCAGAAAAGCTTCCTGATATTATAAATCTCCCACAATCCCAAACTGCTTTTCCCTAGGCACCCCCTAATGAATTTCATGCCCTGTAGGCAGTAATGCACTTCAGCCAGAGAGCTTCTCGGGGTGACCCATCTCAGTAAATTTCATACCCAGACAATGCCTTCATCATCATCTTCTAATGGCCCTGAGGGGTGTCAAGTCATAGTTGTATTTGTTGTGATTAAGTTTTGGGGGTTCACCTATCTGTCATTGTTTCTCCCCTTCTTTGTGCTTATGGACATCAGTCTTTAACAACATAACTTAACACCATAAAAACTAATGGAATTCTGTGTATTACATGAGGTTTCCCCTCTGGTAACAATATAAATAAAACATTTTGGATAAAGATGTTCTTACTTTATTGCTTTCTATATTGACAGAACCACTTTTTTTTTGTTTGTTTGTTTCCTGTAAAGATCCTACTTTATATCAGAATTGTGTTTTACTTAGTTTCTAGCAGAGAAAATATAATTGTCCTGGGCAGAAGTGAATAATCTATAAGGAGTGAGATTTTGGCAGCAGACCAGCTGTCACAAATGGGCTGGATTTTTGCACCTCAGATTCTGTCAGCTGGATTGAGACTTAGAGTTAGTTCCAGTTAGTTGTGATATTATGGTCTCTTCGAGCTAGGTCTTATAAGCTCTCAGAAACCTATATCACACTTGAGATGGCTCAGCTGCCTCAGATGGCATCAAATTAGCAGGATGGCTTCTGTGGCAGTGTTGGAAACAGAAAAGTTTTAATAAAAGGCAAAATAACAAAGCTCTTTACAGAGAAAACCTGAGTTAGAGGTACACCTAACAAAAGCAATTAGTTCCTTTGTTCTCTTCTTTTTCTAGTAAATTACTTAGGCAGGACTTTCTAGCTTCTATCCAATTAGCTATCCTTAAGTTTGAAGTAAAGTCCCCAAAGTCCTATGAGGTGTCTTTTTACCTAGTTGAGAAGAGAACTTCTAGGTTTTTTTCTTTTTAAAGAGGCAAAAGATAATTAGTCACAACATCAACAAAGGGCACATTCCTACATAGTTTCAATGGTTTGAACCTCAATAGTCCAAAAAGCTGCAGAGTTTTACTTCCCTCTTAGCCTTCTTTAATCACTGCCTAGCTTCTTAGAAGAATGTTTCTGTCTGATTTGGATCAGCTGCCACAATGAATTACCATGAATAAATATCTGTCACTATATTAAGAACTAGACTGGGGACTTTGGAGTATTTTCTTTCTCTACTATACAGTCTCAAGATTTCCCATTCATAGCCTGAATTATCACCCAAGGCCTGGAGAGGAATTCCCACTTTCATTTTTTCTCATCAAGAATCTAGACTGCTATTGCCATTTTTCTTTCAAACACAACATACTGGTTTCTATACTAAATTACTATGCCCAGGCTTAAGTTCTGTATTACCAGTATATCTCCCATATGTTCTCTTTCCTGACCTAGTCTGACATTTATTTTACATATTTATTTAAGATGCATTTATCATACATATTTACAAGGCCTAAGTTGTAAAGGTAGTATAAGATAGAATGAATAAGATAGCATGCTTTTATATTTTAATGAGGTAATATTTCACCTACTCTGAAAAAAAATACTGTAGCTTTCTAGGGTTTTTTTAATTGAATGTAAGCTTTTTTAAAAAATCCACATGATACCTTTTTATAGTTTCTAATAAAACACACAGCTTTTCTCCAAAGTGAATAAATCCTGTAGTATTAAACATAAAGGCTTCTACAAAGATACTTTGTCATTCTCATCTCAAATAACAAAGTTCATGGGAGTTTACAATATCTAAATAATGTTGATCTGAGTACCTCAAAACAACATAATAATGTCATGTGGTCTTAAGATATGTTAAGTCCTTGTTCAGAGAAAATCATGTTTTCCTACACCTGCATTTTATTTCAGTAATCAAACACTGACTCACCAAAACAATTCAGTCATGCTGCTCTTAGCCTGGCATCATTTTATTTCACATGTAGTGCCATCAGCACATTGACTGCAGCTTTTCTCCCATGTGACATATCTTTACAGCAATATAGATAAATGTTCACAGTTCACATGTTCCCAGTTTGTTAGGTTTTTATAATATATAGCAGTTAGAATATAAAAAAGATAGCTCAGAAAAAATACTTGCGAGCCCAAATCGTACTCTTTTGGTCTCTCATATATGGCATCCTATGGAAATGGCTCAAAGCTGCACCAGGAGAGGCTTAGATTGGGCATCAGGAAGTGTTTCTTTACTGAGAAGGTGGTCAAACACCAGAACAGGATTCCTGGAGATGTGACTGATGCCCCAAACCATTTAAGAAACATTTAGGAAATGCCACTAATAACATGCTTAAGCTTTTGGTCAGCCCTGAATTGCTCAGTTGATGAGCAGTAGATGATCATTGGAGGTCCCTTCCAACTGGAATAGTTCTATTCTATTCTATTCTATTCCATTTCATTCCATTCAAGTAGATGCACATTTTAATAACCATTATTTTTGTGATGTCAGTGGAATCTGGGATTGTTTCAGCACTGAACATATTCAAGTTTATAAGATTGTCTGTGTTTAAAAGGAAAAAATGGTTCCAGTGATGAACAAGGTACTTCCACATGTCTTAATGAGAGTAAAAGTAACTGAAGAAGGAGAATTCATGTAAATCTAACAAATGTGTTTAAGTGAGTTAAGAAGCTAAGTTCAATGCTGAAATGTCTGCTAAAGATATAGAAATCAATTTATGTGTGGTAACTCTTGCTTGTAATGTCTCACTGAACATTATAGCCTCATATTTTTTTCATGTCCTTTGACACAATTATTCTGAGAGGTTTTATTCAGGAATTTATTTAAGCATTTTTGCAGAAGCTTTGCATGAGTATGACTGTATTTATACTAGGGGACAGCTATATCAATTCATGAGACTATCTTTCAGCTGTTGTAGAGGAGTTCTCAACTTCAGGTAGATCTGTGGGTTCACTCCAATCTTCTTGAAGTAATACTTGGCATATTCTTTTCCTGCCACATTTCTGCCAGAGATTACTTCCTTTCTATAGCAAACTCAACTGGAGCACACATGCTTATGCCTCAGTAGCTGAGGCTGGTGTGTTTGTACAACCCCATTTTCACTGATGTCTCTTCTGCTGCTCTTGCTATTTGGGCAGAAGTTCTTGGCAAATATAAATTGGCAGCTGGGCTCATAATTCCAGATGTCACCTCTCTTTTAAGACAATTATTAGTTATATGCTCTTTAATATTGAGTCCCAACTCTTTAATATTGATCTCCTTTCTCATTACAGATGGTGGAGTGTGGAATCAATACCCTTCTCTTGGGCTTTTATTCTATTTTCTTGCTTTTTTTTTTATTTTTATCATCATGTTAAATTCAGTAAGATATTTGAAACAACAAGAGCAAAAAATAATTAAACCTGTTCATGTTAGTGCATTTCCTATTTAGTCTTTGAAGAGAAGTACTTCTTGGAATCAATTGTAATTATAACATTTACCAGGCAGATGATGTGTGCTCAGTCTTACAGCCTCTAAATATATTTCTTTTGTTTTTCTTGACAACTTGCATCCTGATTTGTGCTTTCTCCTACCTTTACCTGGAGGCTTTTCAGAGAGAGAGTTTGGACAAGGACAGTTTATTAAACTGGAGATGAGAGATTGCAAATTACTTATACTGCAAACTTCAAAGCAAGCTCTAGTGATATTACCTTCACAGTTTGTTCAGTGTCTGAGCAAAGCTGCATGATCTTCAAAGCCACTTTCTGCTGTGATTTATAAATCAGATGTGATAATTGCATTCTAATACCTGTAATCCCAGCATTTTAGGCAGAGAAATTTCAAAATTTGAAAACCAGAAAGGTTAAGAACAACTTCCTCAATTAAATCCCAAATACCTTCAGTTCTTAAATTTTTTTAGTCTCTCATTCAGATGAATAAAGACTAAGGAATATTGGTGGAGAACAACTATGCAATGTTTTGAAGAAGAAAAAAGAACAAAAGTCTATGATTAGAGCTATCAGTCTTTCTGGAAGCTCTTGTCACTTTCTGAACACAAAAAGAGAAAGGACATCCTCTTAATTTACTTCACTTAATGTCTGTCCATCTGTCCTCCTTGACCCTATCCCGTATCAGTCTTGTAAATTAAATAAAAACATAAGTTAATGAAAAGATATATGAAATCTTGTAACAGCTTTCTCTCAACACTTTGAAGGCAACTCATCTTCAGTGGAGATGGTCGGCTTTAGTTTTTAAAATATACCTTTTAGTTTTTATCTGTTAGAATTTTTAGAATATTTTAAAGAACAAACCAGAAATAGAAACCATTTTATTTTAATAGAAAGTTGTTGAATAAACATATTTTTATGCATTAGAAAGAATCAACTTTATCTGTAAACCACAGTTGTCTTTCCAATTAAAAAAATCAGTACATACAATATAAGTTTGTCTATTGAGCACATTTCACTGTAACGTGCTGAAGATTATTTGGCAGTGTATATTTATAAGTAAGAAGTGAAAAGTCTGTATAAACAAACTACAGTCTGTTTCAAAAAGACAACTGAAACTACATTCATAATGAAATACAGATCAGTTCCAAGAAATGCAAAGTGTCACTGTTATGGTATATTTTGCCTTTTTGTTTATTTTGCTAGTTAAGCTCTAATGAAGAAGACATGCTGGCTTCTGGTGTGTCTGTGTCAGCTTTGGCAGTGTTTCAATGAGGAGAAAAGAACTTTTTTATATTTTTTGATGTTGCATATGGACCAAGGGAAGAAAAAGTTATAGATACTAAGATATTAAAGGCTCTCTTTCCCCAGCAATTCACTTAGAGAATGTGGGGGCAGAAAGCCTTCAAGGATTGTTTGTCTCTATGGTAACAATGCTCAGTACAAGCACAGAACATGCAGTGCAAAAGAATATGAGAAATTGGCATATAGGCATTCCCTATAAAAGCCCAAGATTTAAGGCTGTGGAGGATTTTTCCTATCACCATTGTGATAAGAAAATTAAATTAAGAACAGTACTGTTAGGTAGAAGGCCACCTCCTTAGACAGAAAGTTGTTTGCATTTTATATAATTTATTTTCAAACCACTGCTGTCTTTTCAGATATTTTTCTTGACTATGTTTTTACTTTTTCAAAAAATATCTTCTCACCATAAATAACCTTGCCAAGCAGAGTTATTTTATTTATATCTAATGGCAAAGGTACAGCTGCCTTACTTGGTCCCTGGTGAGACAAACTAAATGTCAGGGAGACAACATTTTTGTCATAATAAGGTTCAAATACCTGAACCAAAACCAAATGAGAGTTGTCTGATTTTTGGTCTGTCTGTTTTCACTGGGAAGGTAAACCTTTTTTCTTCCGTTACTTCTCCCCTCTTTCTATGAGAAAGGTTCTCCAGTTCACTTAGACCTGGGTAATCTGTTTAAAAGTTCTGAAAGCATACAATAATAGCTGCTGGGTATGTTTTCTTAAGCAACAAAACCTTCTGCATACAGGTATTCTGTTGGAATTATGTGTCTAAAGTAGCAAAACAAAGCTGGAACACATGCTGGCCCATCCTTTGCTAATATATGGCCTGTCAGGAGAGGTAACATGAATTGTAAATGCATCTGAGATAAAGGTCATGGGAACTACTCTATTAAGTGGATTCATTGCCATGTTCAATATTCTGTCTCAGATGATGCCAAATGCTCGTTTCAATCTCTTGTTCTGCTTGTATACTTCCAAAGTGTCATGACCTGCTGAGAACTGAGAGGTTTTTAAAGGGCTGGACTATAAGATGGGCTTTTGAAAGCCAGATCCAGCCAGCCCTCATCCCATCTTCCATGTGTTACTGCTGTGGATAGGGCTATGGTTCACAAGGCAGCACATGTGATTTCTGCAGTGTGACTGTGCCAGGGATAACATGTGCAAGCAGCAGTTAGTGTAACCCAGTTATTAATGTATCCTTTCCTTCTTTTCTTAAAATCTGTGTTCCTAAGGGAGTCATCATTACATACTGCATTAGAGCTGCCCAAATGTGAGCAGGTTTTACCTAGCTAAATCTGCTTCTCATTTGGAATATATCACTGCAGAATGCAATATAATTAATGGCACCATTTGCACATCTTTTAATGTACATAAAAAGGTATATTTATGTTCCTATTTAGAATCATGGTAAGAGGCAAAAATGTCATTGCATGGTATATATAATGACATATATAGCATGAATGTCTAGTTTAGTAAAATGCAAATGTTTGTAAGCCTGTTTAAGGGAAAACATTATTTCTAATTCAAGATCAAACTATTTGAAATCTGCAAGGTGTTTCTCCTTGCTGATATGCCCTTTTGCACTTTGATTTATGTTTTTGCACTTTGATTTATGTTTAAACTAATAATCAAATAAGAGGAAGGTTAGCTACTAAGGTGTCAGTCTAATAGTTGTGTTGTTCAAAATTAAAAAAAATGGGGGAGAGATGTATTAAATAATGGTTGTTATAAAAGATCACAAAAATACTTGTCAAAATGCTTCTTTGTTAATAGTTTTGCAGTTTACCTTAGCTGTGCAATGGTATTGCTGGAGCAGGGGCTGACAGCCCTGAGGATTCTAATTATAAAAGGCGTACCAGTATTTAGAAATTTAATGTATTTCTAGAGCTACACATTGTGACACCATTCCTTAATAAGATGTAGACATTGCAGGGCCCAAAACTCCCGCACTACCTCTAAAGTGCCTGATTTCATGTAGGGACAAAAGGGTTGTAGAAATAGGCACAAGTAGCAAACTAGCAAGGAACCAACCTTAGTGGGCCATGAAGGAATTTCAAAATAAGGGGTTTGAGATATGGTCCTTGTTCTGAAGGCACTTGCATATCCCAGCTGCTATTGGCACTTTGAGGTGATGCTTTAGTTGGTAGAATATTACGCAAAAATTAGGCAGCATCTTTACTCTGACCATTACATTCCAATCTGTTTCCTGCCAAATCTTACTGGTACCTAATCACTGAAGCCCAGCTACATTATACACTTTTTGCCTTTTGGCTCTAATTTGGAAAATAAATGTGTCATTTGCAAATTTCTTCAACAGTCGACAAGAGAAATGAGAGATACTTGGTTCTGGGAGGAAATATGTTTTCTTAATGAAGAAAATTGTAACAGGGCAATCTAACCCTTCATAAGCCACAAAAATTGTTTGGATTTTTCAGACTGGGACAAATTCAAAATGAATGTTACAGTGCTGCAATTTGACAGAGTGAGCATTGGCCTGCTTAATGCCTGAGAGTGACCATAAGGCATTGGGGTTTTAATGTTTTGAGGTTTTGTATTTTTGAGAAAGTAGTCAAAGCTTTTTACATACAAGGCATTACAAAAGACTTTCATTTTAGTAATACCTCTGCTTTGTTCATGTAGGAAGTTACATAAGGAGGAACAGTAGTAATAGTCCTTTTAATGTAAAAAATGAGTTAAAGTTCATTGGAATAGGCTGATAATATTGTTACTTGTGTCAAATCTGTTCATGCTCTTTCAAACGAAAAATGAGACAGGAACAACAAGAGAAGGGGGAGAATTTTGGCAAAATAGAAAATCATTCCATTCACTGATAAAATTTTTTCTTGTATCTTCATTTCTGGAAGAAAAAAACACAGCATATGCTGTAAGTCCCAACAAACTTAGAGTAATATCAGATCATTTAACTCACTGCTCTCAACTGCTTTTCTGTCTGTTAGCTGACATCACTTATTAACAGAACACAAAAGAAAAATTACAAGAAAAGAAAACAATCAGAGTTGAAAATTATATAAGTGCAGAGAATGGGAACAGCAGCAACAACACCACATTGCTGCTGCCAGTGACAAGGTCTTTATGGTGTCATATAGGCACTTGAGTATCATCTTCTAGCTGAGATAGGACTTGGTCTCAGGACTTTCAGGGTCTAACAGTGTATGAATGGATAGTAATTGCAGCCCTATCTAGCTCCTAATTGGAACCTTTTCTAATGTGTCAATATCAAGTTTTTAATTCCATATCTGTTGTCATTATCAAGTTTTGAATTCCACATCAGCTATCAATATAAAGTTCTTAATTCCATCTGTCTTCTTCAGCAAGAAGTTGTGGTGGAAGGAACTAACCCCTTGTTTATTTGCTCACAGAGTATGACAACACATTTGGTGTGTTTTTGTCATGTTTACAATGTGTATAGTACCTGTGATTTTCTTATTTATATTAATGCATCCTTTCAGTCTTGATCTTCTGTCAGCTTTCTGTGAGAGTTAGGAAACATGAGTGTTCCTGAGTGTTAGGAAACATGCTTGGACTGATCTTAAACGACAGTACAAATTTCTGCATGTTCCTTAAGAGATTAAAGTATTCTCTCTCTCTCTCTTAATTACTAAACAAGTGATTGTATGCAGACATGGCTTCCTTAAAGCCAGAATTTCCTGTGAGAGTTTCCCAGTTCCAGTATTTACAGAGAGAAGTAATGATAATATTTTTGTACTTTATTTTCATTTATTTGTTCATTCAAATTTTTCCCATACTGGCATGAGGCATGACTATATGGAGAGTCTGTCAAAAGCTGTTCATCATTGAATCATCATTTTTAGATTAATGTATTCTGTATTGTATTTCTTTGCAGAAAGAGTTATATTTATTTTGAGTGCTAATTTAAATAACCATATGCCAATATCGTTCAGCAATTTGACCTCATTTATTTTCCTGGAGAAGCCTCAGTGTATAGAGTATCAGCATAATTAAACTATGAGTTTACAAAGTGTCTTTGTAAACTACTAATATAATAATTCATAATTATGGGGAGGAAGAAGCACTAAAAAGTATACCAAGTTATCTGAGCAATATAAAAATAGTCCTAAAGAAGAATGATGGTTTTTAAATGTAAAAAATTTTAGAGGAACATTGCCTATTTTATGTGATTTGATTTTCAGAAATCATGCAACCTGAGTTTGCAGAGGATGGTTTTCCAGATACAGAAGAAATGAAAACAATTAAAATGAAGATTGACCTTTTCATGAATGATTGGGAAAATGTGGAATCAGAAATCAGGACGTCATCTAAAGTTCAGGTGGTTGTTTTAGAGATTGCTGAGCAAACACCAGAAAGTCTGCTTAATCAAACTGTGCAAGTTATGGAAAGTAAGTAATACTGTTTATGTGATTATTATCACTTCAACTACTATGAGGGATTTTGGATAGCTCAAGCAAATTAGGGAGTAGGTTGTACTCAGTTTGATATTGCTAATATGAAGAGGGTCATACTGTGTTCTCTGAATCAGTTGAAAAGCATAATAGCAGCCTTTCAGACATCTGAGTGGGGGAAATATAACTATAATATGGCTATGCAAATAGGTGCATGATAGCTCGCTAAACATTCTGAAAGCACATTTCCACAGTTATCTATGTATCTATCTATGTATTCTATCTGTGTGTGCCAGGATACTGGTTTGAGAAATGGACAGATAGTGAAGGTTCACTAATGTGTAATATTCATTGGGTTAGTGAGACTTTCAGGGTGTGTAATAATCTAACCTAACCACCTGCATAGACTATATTTCAAAACGGAATTTTACATTAATTATTTTAAAATCAATATTTCTTTGGCAAATTACATTTCTTCATTTGTGTGGTCTTGCAGAATTTTGAGCACTGGATAGATAATACTACATTTTTCCTATTATCACTACAAATCAAGTGTTTTATTAACCAAAACATCTATGGCTCTATAATAAAGTGAGAGTTGAGTGATGATTCTTCCCAACAAGTAACAGGGAAAAAAAAACTGTTGCAAAGAGTAATGGTACTATCTGCATGTGTTTGTATAATACTTTTGCAATACAAGTTCCCATTGAAAATACCATTTACTTCAACCAAAATCAACCTGTAGAATTTCCATTTTTGGAGGAGGCAATATACTAATTTCCACATCTGGGGAGAGCATTTTGTTCTGTGAGTAGAAGAAATGCAAGATACAGTTGGCAATATTTTCTTCCATGTATGCACTTACTTTCAAGGATAAAGAGAATATATTCTGATAGCCAAAGGATAACAATTGAAACAGAATAAAAACCCTAATCTTTTCAGAACCTTTTAAATATTATGGCTGGGAATTATCTGATGAAGACTTAGGGGAGGAGGAACAAGATCTGGCTGCTGAAGCGGAAAATGAGGAAGTGGAAGAGGAAGGTGAAGAAGAGGAAGAGGAAGAAGGGGAAGAAGGGGAAGAAGAGGAAGAAGTAAGCATGCCAGTTTTTATCTATTTATGCTTTGATTATAACTCCTTTATTTTGAGTTTGAACATAAGCACGGAGAAGACAGATTTTGCTTGATCCTGTTTTTTTTTTTTTATCCAGTTGAAGCCTTCTTACAGAATAAATATTTATTCTGTAAGAAGGCTTCAACTGGATCAAAAGTATGTACTTTCCCTGCATTTCTGTGTTGTGGCCAATAGTAGTTTTATTACAGCAAGAAGCTCAATTACCGCCATGCTAATAGAGAGAATGACTGTACCTAGTTTTGCCAGATGGCAAGGAGGGGTTTTTATTAAAGAAACAAATATGAACTTTGATTTCTGTCAGCTAACAATGATTCCATGAGCCATCATGTAAACATCAGAAGATGCAGAGTCCCGTTCCATTTCAGCTATTGATAATTTTACACACACCCACTTTAATGAAATTAGAGGTCTAGCTTTGCCTTTCTATTTTAATCCTATATTGGAAGATTCCCATCCCCAAATTTAACAGTACAGGATATCCACAGACTGAGAGAGCAGTATTGATATGTTTTTTAGAAATTAAGTTTACTGAATAAATAATCTGACTTCATAACACCAGCTCTCACTGTATTTTCTGAAGAGGTCTACATTTAAACAGATCAGTTTCAAGAACACAGTAGGAAAAGATTTTATCATAGATACTTCTACCCTAATTTTGGTCCTCAATGGCTAACTATGATATTCATGATATTTTTAATTTAATTATTTTCTCAATAATTCTCTTAGACAATTTGTTTTCTGACTCAGAATCAAAAAAGTGTGCATTTTCATAGACTTACTTTCAGCATGCAAACTGTTTTGAGAATACCATCCTAATTCAATCATCACTTAATGTATTTGGCAGTATTTAATCTGATCTATTTAATCTAAGTAAACTCCTGAATTCTAAGAGTTCTTTAAAAATTTCATCTTTTCAGGATGAAGAAAAAATTAAGCAAAAGAAAAGGCATATGGGAGACACAAAACACTTTTGTCCAGTCAGTCTGAAAGAGAACTTTGTCCTCTACCCTGGACTCCAGGAACATGCAGTTAAATATAAAGAAAAGATTTATTACTTTTCAACTTCCGAGTACAGAGATGAATTTTTGAAGAACCCTGAGGAGTATGTGGCTCACAATGAACCACTACAAGTGAGAATCTTAAAAATTATTTAAAGCAAATAATAGCAGATTAAAATAACTACTTTACATTCCCAGATTGTTTAGATTGGTTTTATGGCTGATTTTTTTCTAAGTAACAATATATTCGGCAAGTCCTTGAAGCAAATTAAACCCATGACTTCCCTAGAGATTTTTAATGTAAATTTGAATTAATGATGCAACTACAGCAGAAAAGAGAGGAAGATTAAAAAGGCTTGCAATAATCTTAAAATATGTTTTAAAAATGACACATGTTGGGGGTTTTGTGCTTTTTTGTAACTTGAAAAAGGGTAAAAGAACAGAAGATTTACCAGACTTGTCTAATTTCATTTCTACCTGCTGATAGTAGGGTCGTAGATTGGTTTGGTGTTTCCAGAGAGCAGGTAGTTTAGCTAGAACAGCAACAGAAAATCTGGGAACATTAAATACAAAAGTATATAACTGGTTTTGATGGATTCTTTAATAATGATATTTTTGAAGTGAAAAACAGTAGAGGGTGGGTGCAGTGTAAACTCCAAAATGTTACTGAATATTCTGGTTCTTTCCTATAGGCTCCTCCATTACGGGTGTGTTTACTTGGGGTTCATGGAGCTGGTAAAACTACTTGTGCACGAGAGATAACAGATAAATTAGGCATTTTCCATATTCAATTTGAAGAATATCTACAGGAATTGATTTTACCCAAAACTAAAAGGAAAGTTGGGCCCTATTTTGATGAAGATCATGAAGATGACAATAAAATACTAGAGGAACTGGAAGACTTCTCTCAGACCATAACTATAACTGAAACAGAAAAAACCAAACAGGTATTAATAATATTTTATACATTCATACGCAAAATAACCATTTTCTGGCCAAAATAGGAATTTCCTATAAAATTGTAACATTATGTTAAATTAAATACTTGATGAAATTTTGAAAAAATATTTCATGACAACATTTTATAAATATCACAAGCACTCCTCAAAACATTTTCAAGAGTTATATACAGGTTTTTTCTAAATATTAGAGATAGATGCTAAATGCCTAATGGAAGACCAACTGAGGGGAATAAAAAGGTTAAGGTCAGAATAATAATGGGAAGACATGGTTTCCTTTAAGTGTTTATAATATGCAGATTCAGTCAAGTGCACGTGTTCCAGCTGCACAGGACTTTAAAAATGTTCCCCAGCTGTGCTCTTTGCAGTCTCTTGGAGCAAAAGAATAGAATGCCTCTACCAACCCTTTGATCTGATCATTCCTCATAAAAAAATCAGAAATATTCATCATTAGCAACAGGGTAAGCTAGTATTTTTTTAATGCAATAGGTTTCTTAACTTGGATTTTAGTGTTTCATTGCCTATTGGCAGCAGTTTCAAACCAGAAAAATAAAGCAACTCTTGGGTAGCATAAAATATGCCTTGTAGCTTAGCTGAAAAACTGTTTCAAATAGCTATATGTTCATGATACTAGTAGAATAATTAATGAATTATAATTTTCAGAAAATTAGTGCTTTTTCTTAATCAGATTGACTACTGGCTTAAAATCCTTCTCAATGCACATTCTAAACTGTATCTCTTACAGGATACAATTTCTCTGAAGGAGAAATTTTTACATAACTGTTTATTGGGGAGAGTATTTTCTTTTATTAGGCAGTGATCTGTTGGGAGAAAAGATCCACAAAAGTTTTAATGCAAATACATTCTTTAGATAGCAATGGATATAATAAAAGCCATTTATTATGTGGAGAAGTCTCACCACAGGTACACAGCAAATGAATCTTTCAAAAAAGTGTAGTAAAAAACTGAAAATCTATATCTCTCACCCAACAGAAATAAGGATTTATCCAACACTCAAAGATTTAGGAAGAAATGTGTTTCTGCATCACATTTTAAGAGCCTTTTTTTAGTGTGTGCTCCTGATATCTGCCAAGTTGCCTCAAGTTACTAGTAGTCAAAGATCTTCAAACACTTCCTACTACAGGATTTAAGGAAGGAGGCAGGAGAGGCAGCAGGCTACAGAGGAGGAGGCACACAGAAACAACACGCAGGCACGGTATTAGGAAGATGAGCACCCAATGGAAGTGGAAAATAATCAGGGCTCTGAATTTAATTTTATTTGTGCTCTTTTACAGCAGTAAAAAATCTAGAAAATAGAAGTCTGACACTGAAATGTGGTCTTTGCAAGTACAGTTTAATCTGTGGCCTGGAGGGTTCTGTGTCTAACAGGAAAGCCTGGGTAAAAAATGGTACTGCTCAAAACCAGAATAGGATCAAATTTGGGATCATTTATGTAAATTGGACATATACAGTCAATAGGTCAATGCAGGTGCTGAAAGAGCTGCCAAAGGTACATTAAAGGCCACTCTACTGTCTTGAGAAGTGGAACAGGTAACTTGGAAGGTAGTGTTCTGATGAAATAATACAAGAGCAGGTAATATTGGAAGCAAATGCTTCAGCACAGATAGAGTACAGATCAAAATCATGGATGTCAGAACAAAAATCCAGGTTTTCATTAAAATCAAAGAGGGGGTTTGTTCAAAAAGTCAGTTTCTTTTACATCTTGGTCATCACAGCCAAAAATATGGCAAGTGTTCCTGGCACTGATGGTTGTAGCTGGCTCTCACTCAATTTTTTTTTTTTTGGCATAAATACATGTCTTACACAAAGGCATTTCTGTTATTATTTTTTCCTTGTCATCTTTCTATCTGCTGGGAAGCAATCTTCAACTTAGAATTTTTTTTCCTCATACTTCTTTTAAAGTGCTTGATCTAATGCTGTGACCTAAGCACAGCTCATACAATTTCAGTCCATTTTAGAAACCCATTCATTGGTCCTTGCACAAAACTCTAGAGGATAATTTCCAAGGTTGTAGAGTTCCCAGGCATTTCTCTGAATATGAATGCCACTGGTCTGTCTGACTATCTTATTTTTCACTGACCCTCCAATTCTGCAAAATTTCATTAAATTCCCTTGTATCATTCTCTTGGCACAAGACAGTACAAGTTTATCTGTCAAAGCTTAAGGTCAGCTATAATGTTCAAAGCAAAACCACTAAAGGCAAACAAAAATATACCATGCAGTCTGGGAAGTTCAGCAAAAAGATATCATCCTTTTTGTTTTAGTGCCACATCATTGACAGGTCTGGAGGGAAACCTTGTCCTTTCAATCACTGCTCTGTGGGGTGTTCTCTTTTTTCTACCTGCAATATACATCTTGTGCTTCTTCTCTTTTATCTCATACAAACACCATTCCTACTTCTCTCTAGCAGTGGTGATGTCAGTGATACATTTTTTATGTTTAACTGTTTCCTCCCACTTCACACATTTCTTTCAAGATGCTTCTGTGTTGCAAATCTGGCTACCACTTTGTCTACTTAGGCATCTTCTGTCATACAAACATCTTTAAATATATGTACTGTGTCAGGCACTAGAGAAAATATTATTCATACACACTACATTAGAGCTGTGACTTCCAGCATATTCTCAGGTTCTTTTGGCTACATTATCAGAATAGATGTCAGGCATAGGAATTCTTATTCAACTGTGGCCTTTTGATATCAGACACATTTTGATTCTTGATATGTTAATTGTGTAAACTAATTATGAAAACTAACTATACCGTCTTTTCAATATTTTTACCACAGTCTGTGTCAGGAAGCCATTCTATGAGAAATGCATCCTCAACCATATCAATCTCACAGAGTTATATATTCTGGGAAAAAACCCTAATAGTTTTCCACAATAATTTAGTAGTTTGATTTGGCATTTGAATACTCTGCATTTGACTAGTCATTAATACTACTACTGTTGTATAGAACAATGCTATCTGTCTGCTATCTGTTCTTCTGCCTATATTCAATAACCTTATATATCCTTCTTCAACATATTTTTTTTTAATCCATCCAAATATAATAGTTGCTTTCAAAAGTGAAAAAACATTCTGATGTAGTGCAGGTAGTCTTCCAGCACGGGAACATGTATAGCCAAGTGGAAAACTGCTTGTAGGCAATTAGGAGAAACTATGCTCATTTCAGTTTCTATTCCTCTGAATTGAGCATGTGTATAATTAAATACTTAACATTTGGGCTTGATTTTAGGTTTCATTAAAACTCATACAGCAGCAATTGCCCTAATTTTAGGGGATTGCCTAAAATGTATAATGTAGTATGATTCAATGAGTTTGTTTCTGCTAGTTTAAGTCAAATGAAGACAGTACCCTACTTAGCAAAAAACAATGTGTCCAGTAGATACTTTTTTCTGGTTTTGGTTGGTTGGTTGATTTTGGTTTTTGGGTTTTTTTTTCATTTCATCCATTTTTGGTGGATTTTCTTTACATAAAGGAAGTGGAATTAACTGATGAGGAACGGGCAATCAAAGCAAATCTAATGGGTAATAGAGAGCTGCCTCCAGAAGTCCTTGACAAGATTGTTCCTGACTGGTGGAAGAAAGAGCCATTCCGGTAACTGTAATTAAATTCTCTCTTTCTTTAATTAATTTTAGGAAGTATATCATCCATTGTGTCCACAATTGCGAATAACTATCACAGAGATTATTTCAATGCTTTTGTACTTTTTAGGAGTAATGACCTACCTGTCAGTCTTGGTTTTGTTGTATTATTTTAATCGATATTTTGACAGTAATATCATGTTTCATATGCTGCACACAGGATTGGATTAAAGTATTGGGCACACCTGAATTGGATTAAATCTCCTAAAGAGCTGGGTAGTTTTCATGGTCTTACAGGATAGAGACGAAAACAAACTATTTATATTTTTATGTAATTTTTGTCCTGACTACATATAGGGGACAATGGTTCTCTACACAGTGTAAAAACAGGGAGATCAGTTCTAGGAAAAAAGGAATGCACCAAGACAAAAAATTACCCAGCATTATGCATAATGTTGTATTAATATATTGTATTAAATTATAGTGTATTATATCACATCACAATGTATTACACCACTAAACTATACTGTGTTGTATTCTTCTTCCCCACAGCATCCAGGGCTATCTTTTCTTTCCTTCACTTCCACTTCTTCTAGCTTCTTTGGTTTTCTGCAATTTTACAATGTGTCCTGTTAAAGCCTAAAGTAATAAATGTGAATATTAGCTTCTTATCAACACAACATTCACCCTTACCTAACTACTCATCTAATTCAAAATTGTAAGAGCTCCAATAAGCCATAGAGCTTTCCAGGTATAACTGACTTGTTTTTAACATATGCAGGAAGAGAAATATAAATCATGCTCAATGGCCAATTTCTCATCTTATACTACAGAAGAAACATAAATTTTCAGGTACAAGCTTTCTTTGAGAGTTGTTACCAGAAAAGTGTTTGGGGCACCTTCTCTTTTTTGAGACCAGTGCCTAAGATGTATTGGTTTTAGTCACACAAGCAAGTCTGAGGACTCGAGTTTTGGGTTTTTAAGTTCTTTAAAAATATTTAAGCATTGCACATTAAAACCTCAGAACAAACTAATTTGTAAGTACACTAATTAAAATACACAACAAAATATCAGTTTTCCATTGTCAAAATAAACTAGCTGAAAGTATTTTTAAAATTTTGCTCCTAATAAATGCATTTAATGTGGGAGGGTTTGTGGGTTTTTCCAAAATAATTACATGTTCATTGTGTTGTACTTCAAACTACAGTGTGTAATAATAAATATTTTCCAATTAGGTCCACAGGCTTTATACTGGATGGCTTCCCCCGTACTTTAGATGAAGCCAGCTATTTGTCAGAACGAGGACTCTGTCCTGATATTGCTATTTATATTCAAGTAGAAGAAGGTGACATTCTTAAACGTCTTTTTCCTCCACGTCTGAAAAAATGGAAAGAAAAACAGCTTAAAAAAAAGGAATATAAAAAGAAGCTGAAGGAACTAAAAGCAAAAATAAGGGTAAGTTTTCAGCCCTATGTTATTTTGTTGTTTTTGTTGTTTCTACAGGAGATGTCTGAATACAGATTCTGAATCTCCCAAAGCTGTGAAGAGCACCCAGGTATTGGAGCCAGGAGAAAAAGTGCTGCACATTCCCAGCATTCCTAGGCTTACTGTAGGAACTCTGTGTCCCATTCTAATGAAGCTGTGCCTACTGTTGAACAGGTTACAAATTGGTTGAGGTAACCTGAAGCCTCTATGCAGACATTTACAACTGGCACATGTAATATTTTCAAGGTTCCTCACTTTGTGTAAAAGTGAGAATTACTTCACATATAATATCAGAAAAAGTCTGAGCATAATTACTACAGAGCAGCTGACACTAAGTTAGGACAACAGAATTCGGGACAAGACTTATACAATACCATTAATATCTCTAAACAGTCAAAGGGGAACACCACACATTTAACACCATACTCAGTCACCCCTTTGCCAAATGGGTGAAAACCACCTATAGAAACCACCTATAAATTTAGAAACTCTGTAGTTTACCAATAAACCTATTACTATATTTTCAGTGGGATATGAATCACAGTCTTTTTTATTCCTCTAATGTCAATCTCAGAAATTGCTGTATTAGTTTTTCAAAAATATGCTTACATGTTCACCTAGTAGAGAGTTATACCTGGTCTGCAACATTTCAAACTCTAGATAGTATTTTTTAACATTAGAACCAACTGGAACAGAATTTCAGGTGGAAAGAAAAGTGTTAATTATAGGTTACATTACCAATTTTCAGAGGGGAGTTTTTATTAGGAAGTATCATCAGTCTTTTTACATCTTTTTTTCACCAACAGAATGAGAAGATTGCCAGAAGAAGAGAAGAACTTTTAGCAGAGCAACAGAAAAAGAAGCAGGAGGTAAGAAAACCTAATAAGACAGTTTTTAAGTAGAAGCATTGACATTCTTACCATAGAATTTTCTAGAGCTTTTAGTCACAGAGTTCAGGACAATGTAGAAAAGTAAAATTATGATAGACTGCCAGAAACTTCAACTTTCAAAAATAATTTTATATTATGTTTGGATTGCTTTAGAAACTATGGATTCATGAAGACTAAAGACTATTTTAAAAGAATTCTCCATATATGCTTCAATTCAGGAAAATACTTATGAATGTGTTTAAAGTATCTCATTTATAAGCACAAGAGTAGCACCACTAATTGAAATTAGGCATGTGCCTTTAAGTACACTGTCAAATTCATGGTTAATCCAGAATAGGACTGTACCAGGATTTCTGCCCAAAGTCAATTACAATATATTTATGAATGCATTAATGTACTACTTGACTGCTCATGATATTCTGTCAGCTACACTTTCATCAAACATGCTTGTTTGTAACAAAGTCCTGTCAAACTACAATACCATGTATGAAAAAACACTCATCAAAACTGCAGTGTAGCTCTTCAGGTTTTTAAAGTACTCTTGGAACTGGTATGATGCTTCACTGAATGCACTATGCAATACTGCTGTATTTTCTTCTGAAATAAGATTCTAGAATTTACTAGATTTTTTGCATATGATAAAGGATATCCCAAAATGAGGTTTAGTTGAATCAATGGCTTTTTTTAATTTAAAAAGAGACAAGAATACCATATGTTCCTTCAAAATATCTGTATCATAGACATGAAACAACAAAATATTTTCTCTTTATAGGCTTTAGCAGATAAGGATAATGACGAAGCTACTGTGGAAGAGGAGGATGAAGATATTGAAGCTATACTTGCAGAAGAGTTTTTAGAAGAAGAAGAAGAGGAAGAACCAGAAGAAGAAGAAAATGAAGAAGATGCTGTTGAGCGCATGCAAAATGAGATTTCAGAGAGGTTTGAATCAGAATTAGAAGGATTACAAAGTGTGCAGGTACTGATACCGCTGCTTATTTTGTTAAAATATATGATCACATGAAGAAGAATTTCCATATTTATTTTTCACATTTAAAAATTATAGTGCCTAAATAACTGTGCTTCTGTACTCATGATCTAAGTATGTGAACAAGATGAAGACTGTACTGAGAAGGTATAAACTTGAAAGAATATATAATTTATACTACTAATATAGTAGAGAAAAAAAAAGGAAGCGTTTGGGTAGACCTATTCAATCTTGGTGTCATTTCATTTTTGATAGGTCAGTTGACACAGGCAACCAACCTAGAGAGTTGTGAATGTATGAGCAGTATTTCAAAATAAGTTTTGAGGCAAAACTCTTATTAGACACCTCTATTTTTTAATGCAGATCCTAGTTGTTGGTGATGAAATCAAATGTAAAGAAAAAATCCAAATCTAATCTCGGTTAAGATACCAGGTGTTTGGCACCATTCCCACACCTAGTGACATAATTTTCTTGAAATTAGTGCAATTGCCTATGGCAAGGTAACCTGATCTAACACCAGATATCTGCAATGCTAATGCCACATCTAAAGCAGTAGGTAGATCAGTAACATTTGTTTATTATCTACAAAGTACTTGACTTCAAAAAGAAACTAATCACGATTTAAAAGAAGCTCTATCCACTCACTAGAGAGAAGGTTTTCAAAACCAGATAATAATACAATATTGTAGCAGTGTGACACCTAATATAGAAGTTTAAACTTCAGTGGGCAGGAAGACTAATTCCCACCAAACTTTGCTGATTTATGTTGACTGAGAACATGCTTAGGAAATCCTTGATAGTTCACAGAATATCTTGCCATCAGTCTTTATTAAAAATCTGATTGCATTTATGATTCTAATATTTCATTTTGTTTTCTTAACCAGGAAGAACTGGTTGAAAAGTTACAAATACCGCCAGTTGAGATCAATGGAGGACGGAAGCCTCGTGTTGTGTGCTACCAAATATACAAAAAGCTGAAACCCCTAGTGGAAAACCGCAGGAGCATTTTTGAGAAATGTTACCCAATAAGTTTGCCACTTGCACAGAAGATGCTAGTTTACTCATATAAATTACGAAGTTCTTTTGGTCAGTGGGATCCAGTCAAGGTAATGTTCTTAAATGGCTGAAGAATGTGTTCAAGAGTTGACACTCTTTAAAAATGCATTTCACATTAACAAGATGTTATCAGACAGTAGCAACTAATACCAGAAATATTTAATGAAAATTACATTACTGAATCAAAATTACATGACTGAATATACAGAAAAGTATATTTACAGCAAGCAGTAATAATAAAAGGTGTTGGTCTTTTCAGTGTTGCAGCTAATTTAAGGCTGAAAAGCATTTAGTAAAATTTGTTACACTGTCATTGGTGACATGATTGAAGGTGGCATTGAATCAGAAAGAAATGCCTAACTTAACGATACACAAAACACAGGACAACATAGAAGGTCTTAAAACCTTACAATAGTAGTGAGAACAAACGGAAAGGATTTAGAATATGAATTTGTAAGAAGCAACACACACAACTGACCACCAAACCTAGTAGTGGCAAAAAATGTTAGATGTACTTAATTCATCAGCAATAATTCTTTCTTGTCAAAATTTAAAATTTTTGAAGAGCAACAAATCTATTTCCATGGTATTTTACTAGAGATCTGGAAAATTGAGGTCAGAAAGTACTTATCACTATCCCCAAGGTAGGAAATGAAATGTTCTCAGGTAATTCTTTTGGTTTAATGGTAGAAATAAAAGCTGATTGGATTGTGAGTAAATAAAAATTTCAAAGGAAGATTAATTGAAAAAAAGTCCAGTGAACAACATACAGAAAGCACAAATCCCCTGAAGGAAACATATTTTGGCCTTCATTTTTCTATGCCAATTAATCAAACCATTTTATTACCTTTTGTATAGTGTCATGTTGAGTTTTCACCTGTTCCAGATCACATTTATCTCTCTTTAACCTTAGGATCAGAATCTTCATTGTTTTCATGGCTGCATCTAATAATCTAGGTACATACTAAAAGAACTAGATATGTCTACATTTACATAATTTCCCACTACTGAACCACAGTTTATGTGTTTAATTGTAATTAATCTCTACACCCTACTCCTTGCACTTCGTTCTGTCAGGTTTCACCAGATTTTTGTATTCCATTTCTCCACTTCATTCCTTTGTTCCATACAGTGCTTTTTACCAACCAAAAAGTACAATTCAGTCAGAAGAAAGAGGTCATAGGAAGTTATTGGGTAAAATAAGAGTGGTGTGCTGACAGTGAAATTGTACAAGCTGATAAAAATGAAAGGGAAATAGGATCACTTTGAGGGCATTTTAGGATAATAATAGAAATTTTAAAATTGATTACAGACTGGAAATTTTGGAGTAGAAAGGCAGATTGAGTATATTCCAGTTACTTTGAGATTAAATTTGGGGGGTAGGGGAAGTAGTTATGCAACTGATTAGATAAGCAGAGAATAAACATTATGAGCTGAGTGAGGAATGGAAGCAGATATGCAGTAGAACAGACTCATGAAATCCCATAAATTGAGAGCAAGCACCCTGAAATGACTTGATCCAGGAATAGGAACCTACAGGTATGAGAAGAGTCTGGCAGGACAATGGTACACAGCAGAACAGCCCCAGCTCTAGCAGTAATAACCAGGCCAACCTTACTGACTCCTTCAAAGAATAGTAATAGATTTGTGATGTATGATTTTCCTTGACAAGAAGTTGAGTTGGCTCTTCCCCATTATTTGATATGTATGCATGTAACTTCTGTGGTTTTTTCCTTATTGTATTTCAGTTTGCTCAATACAGAGTGAGATTTACTGGACTATTTTTGTCAGGCTGAATGCTGGAGGAAAAAACTTTTTTTTTAAATGCTAATTTTTCCCATCTTCCTTCTTTTGTTGAAGAAAGGTCAATGTTACACATTACTCAGAATTACATTTCTGAGTCCCCTTAGAATAGTAAGGAGAATGCTGCCTGGGCAATTTTTCTACATACTGCTTTTCTATATTTTGTTTTAAAGCATCTTTTATTGACACTTTAAGACAGTTCTTCTAAGAAGGACTGCAACAGGGACATGAGTAAGTTTTTCCATAGAGAAGAGTAGTGCAAGGAATTAATCTGGTATTACTTCAATGACTATTTCTGCCAATTGCATCTCTTACATGTCAATGATCCATCAACACTGCAGACTTTTTAGTGGGCTGTCTGATGTGTTTGAAAAGATTTCATCAGCAGTGCATGTATTTTTCCAATAACTTTTTCAACTTATCTTGTGGTTTTTCACTTGACCATAATGTAACTATTGATATCTTTTTACATTTTCTTCATTTGTATATGACTTCTGGTGAATACAATATTCTCAGTGTATTTTCTGTTGGCAGGCAGGCAGGTGAGTTTAATTCACTGAGGAATAAAATTATTCTTTCTTTGAAAATTAAAAAAAACTGTTTTGTTCATCTTTGACTACACTATCTTGACAGACATATAAAGTATTACGGTACCACCTACTGGAAATAGCAAGTATTCTTTCTGTCTTAAATGTTTCTTTCATCTTTTTGAACAAGAAGTGTAGGTACAGAAGTTTCTCAGATTTGAGCAAAATATTATGTCCATATATGTGAATTTTAGAATGCTTTGATGGTTTGTGTCATATGGTTGGTACTCCTCTATCTGCCTATAAAGCCGCTTCTCTGGGATGGAGGAAGAAAAGGCTTTGTCAAACCTAATTAACTGATTCTCATTTTGTATATTACACAGTTAAGCCAAGGAGATGTGATCAAGCCACAGCAAAGGGATGAAAGCACAGTCTTTCCAGTAATCCATCGACAATATATTTATTTCTTTTCAAGTAAAGAAAATAAAGAAACATTTATGACAAATCCCATCAAATATATTTGTCAGCCAAAACCTAAGCAATCTGTGCCAGTAAAGATTGCAATTGTGGGACTTCCAAAGTCTGGAAAGACTACAGGTATGAGCAGTTATCTATTTAAAAAACTCATTTTTTAATGACTGAAGCTGTATCTGTCCTTACTGCTATTAAAAAACATAAACCATTTATATTGCTGGTCTTCCTGCTTTTCTTGCTGGGCACAGATTCTTTTAGTAACATTCTGTGGTGTCTCATTTGACAGTCTGATAGTTATGCATTGTTCATCTGAATTTTATCCCGGATCCTTAAGATGTTAGTGACTTGGACTTGGACTTGTATTTAGAAAAACTGGACTTATGCTACTTATATCCTTTGTATTATTTATTATTATTTTATAATTGTTTCTTACTTTTTTGAGTCAATATAAGCTAATGTAAAATGGAGAAATAGTCCTAGGATCAAGGATGAAGACCCCAAACTCCCCACTCCCCAGTCTGTTTCGAAATTTCTAGATTAAAAAGTGCCCAAGATTTCCATCCCTCTCCCTTCCCTTTCCTCCTCCATGACTCTGTCAATCCACACGTTTTTGCCTTTTACTGGAGGAGGAGGACATTAATTTTAAACTATAGTTATTGATTAGAATAGGATGTTAGGAAGAAAAGAGACAGGTTCAAATGATTTCATATTTAGGATGAAATTTTAGCATATTTCCCATTTCCTGGATAAATGAGGTAGCTGATGGGCTGTTCTGTAAGAGGAACAGCAATGGAGGCATATTTTCTAACACACTCTGATAATATTGACTATATCTGCTGAGATTTGTTCTAAATTGAATAGTGTTAGTATGTCCTGTGCATATGCCAGATTGTGATGTTACTTACCTTCAAAGTTGTGACTTGAAATGGAAATATTTTGCAGTTGCCCAGAGACTTGCGAGTGTTTATGGGTTCCTGCGCCTGTCCCTAGGAGATGCCATCCGCTTTGTGCTAAACAGCCAGCCAGAGAGCGAGCTGGCACTTAAGGTACAGTCCCACCTTCTCCAAGGACTCACCGTGCCTGATGAATTGGCCATCCAGGCTCTCAATGTGGCTCTGCTAAATCACATGGATAATCCCACTGGGTAAGAGTTTTCTTGGGGTTTTGGGGGTTTCTCCAAGACATGTCAGTCTCTTCGTAGGCATGGATTCCCATGTTACTGCTGTAGAACAATTTCACTAAAACACATCAGTGGTTTCTGCATTAAAAAAAAAATCTGTACAAAAGGAGATTTTTTTTTACAATATCTCTGGGAAATGAGACTGAAGCAGAATTTTCTGCTATTTCCAAGTAACTTTATGTCAGTACATCGAAGTAATATACTTTATGACAGTTACTTTTTTTTCAGTCAATAAGCCAGTATCTTCTACTATCCTTTGAGAAGCACTATTTGGTCTCTCTTATGCCATCTCCAGAACCAACTTGGACACACCTGATTCTCTTTGATGGAGCAGGCTGTTTCAGTACTCAGGGGTTTTTTTGTTTTCTTAACAACTGAAGTTATTAAGGAGGAACTGAAACCAGTGAGTCTTATCACCTCATTCATAGGTAATCCTAGGCTCTTTCTCCCCCACTGAAACATCTTTGAAACTGGGCAGACTTAAAAAGCTTTATCATCAGTATTTCATGAAATTCAACTTCTCTCCTCAAAAAGGAGAACTGTTAACAGAGAAAGGCAATTCTGCAATAATCTCTGAAAATTATTTGTGCTTGAGATCAGAATTCTTTCAGCTTCTCTTTGATGTTAAATCCTGGAATATTGTTTCAGTATATTTTGTTCCAGTATTTCCTAATATGAAAAACCATTTTTTCTTCAGTATGATTATAAAAATTCTTCAAATACTGTAGTAAATAATTTTACTTACCACTTTAAAAACTGCTCCTCCCAATCCACATGGAGACTTCTCATAGTTAAAATTATGTTTCTGAATGATTGATGTGTCAGAATATTTTTATAAGTCCCAGCCATCCACTTACCTTTTGCCCTTTGTACATTTCCTTTTCTCATTACTATTTCTTCTTCTGCCTACCTGATTTTTTAAATTTGATTGTAAATTCTTAGGAGTGAAGAATGTGCCTGTCAAGTGAGAGCAGTGATAACTGCATGGGTGTAGACTTTTGTCTCTATGGAAAATGTACTAGAAATAGACATAGACTCACTGGTTGATTGGAAACTCACTTCTTAGTGAGTTTCTTCAAAACTATTTTTCTGTTTCTATTTGCGTGCAGAGTTGTAATGGATGGATATCCTCTAACAAGAGCCCATGTAAATCTCTTGGAATCAACTAGGATAATTCCAGTGAAAATCTTTGAATTAGATATGGAAACAAAGGAAGTGTTCAGAAGAGCGCTGCTGGATAAGGAAAGATCAAACCGGTAGTAATACTCCCTGATACAATTTTTTTATTTTCTACACAATATTGTAGTATCTCTATTTATGTGCCTCAGTGCTATACCCAGAGGTTGTGTCTAACCTGGAGCATAACTCAGCTGTCTCTGAACTCCACATATGAAAAACATGGGAACCAGTCCCTCTCCTTTCTAATGCTTTGATTTCCATAGAGAGAAATAGTAAGAATGTAAGGTGTTTGGGGCATGCTCTGGCCAGATCCTTCAGTTGCATTCCTGAGATTACAAATGTGCAATGCTGTGCACCCACTGCTTAGTTTAAGTGGTTTAATGCAACTGTACATCAGAAATATTACCACTTCTCTCTGCTGCTGAAATTTATTTTTCATCAATTATTATTATAAAATATATTGATACTTCATCTAATAATCTCTCTTTTAAAAACTTGATCAGAGTTCTTTTAAAACTATGAAACTAATGCATATTTAGTAGTATATAGAATTCAGGACTTGTAAGCTTTTCAATTCAGTTTGTTCCCTTCTTTGTTCTTCTGAGAAGATAAATATTCTGTTTAAAGAGCCATTGGTTGTTTTTGAGGAAGAACAGTAAGTAGTTTATAAGCAGACAGAGAATGAAAAAGAACAGAACATTCACCTTAAAATTAAATTGTGTAAGAACCTGTTTCTCATTAGAGGAAGTGTTTCTAAGAAGTTCCAGATAGCTTGGAGCATTATTGCATGCCTCTTTCATTTTGTCCTTTTCTTTTTGTATCTTTCTTTTTATCAAGTAATCAGTACAATGTTAAATTGCTTACTAAAAGACTAAAGACAATTTGCATTGCAAAAAAATTAAATCAAAGATGTGTTTTTGAAAGTATTTACTTTAAACTTAATTTTAAATACCAAACTAATTATATTTCGTAGGCTTAAGTACAAATCAAGTGTGCAATATCAGGGTGCCATTTAATGGTGTATTTGTAGTGTATCTCAGGTAATATGTGTTGATACATTCCAAATCCTTTGCAAAATAATTATTGTGCTGTATTTGGGACACAAATAGAAAAAGTTTTTTCTTCGTTTTTGAACAGGACTGTCTGATCATAAGTACACTGCTTTTCAATGTAGCTGATAGTATTCTTAAAAAGAAATTTTTATTTCTCAAATATGTTCTACAATGTCAAATAAGCAAAATTTTGTAAAAAGAACTTCCAGTGAATTCTAGAATTTACACCTGAAATTCAATGAAATTATCTAATCCTCAGATTTAAATCACTGTTATTTTTCATTCTCTTTAGACTTCCTTATCCTGAACATGACAGCCCACAGATTTTAGCTATTAAAAATTCCTGCTATAAACAGCACATTGATGATATTAGAACTTACTATATGAAGGAACATCAGAACTGGTGTGTGATTGATGCCAATCATAGCAAATGGAGGGTCTGGAAGACGGTTCTGCAGGAAGTTCAGTTGGTTGTTAAACAAATCCAGATATACCTGGAAAGAAGAAAAGAAGGTAAAAGAATAACAGAGTTTCCCAGAATATTTCTTCCTTTAAAAAGCTGCAGTGTACTATGTACATGACAACTTCAACTTTCTGTGGATGTGGCTAATTCTTGGCCACATATATACCATTAAATTCTTCAATCTCATCTGCAGAGATCTTGAAGAGATCTCTTGAAAAGAGTGAAGGCAAAGCCAACTACAGGGCAGTCTGAGGTCATCCTCCCAAGAACACAGGGTAACAGGAGTCTGCTAAAGGAAGTCAGAGTCCTTGGTCCATGGTAGATCTGGCAACACTGGGTGGTAAATCACAAAGAGTACTCCAAAGGTACAAGGGGAACTCTAACTTGCACCTTCACTTTAGTGTTAGTGAAGGAAGAGGAAGGGATAGAGAAGATGTTAATTTAAAATCTAGAAATAAGCTTAAATATGCCATCTGAGTTAATTTCTCTGCTTTGTGAAGAAGACCACTTTATTCTAAAATGGCACAGTTCCCACTTGACTTTTTGTCTGTCAGCACTGGTCAGGATTAAATATGCCTTTTAAACATGTCTGTACTATTTAACTAGAATTCCTCTGAAGGGCAAATATACTTCCTTATCTTTATCCACCTTTTGGGTTTAATTTTTACAGCTCTGTGGCTGCACCCATCTTAAAAATTGGAGTCATAATCAAAAATATGAAAATACACTTAACTTTTACACATCAAGCTTGAAAAAGCATGATTTTTAAGTAATTTGGTTTTGAGATGACATTTTATTAAAGATTTTGAATGTATTTCCTCCAGATAGACTGTAGCATCTGCAAGATATGGATGAATAAAAGCGGAGGCTTTCATCACACCTTGTACTCGTTTCCAATAATGTAAAGACATAAAATAATAGTTGAAATGACCCTTAGTAACACAAAGGAGTGAAACAATAAATCATAAAAAAGAACAGACTAATAAGCTGAGCATGCAGAGTATCCCACACCATTAATAATTATTATATTTCTTACATGCTAAAAAATGTTATTAAAATTAATTGGTAAAATGAGTTACAACTTCATTTTATTATCAAATTGCTGCTTTAGTTCTCATTATATCATATAAATTTCAAATTATTACTTTCTAGTCTGTAGTGTTCCTGAGTAGAATTGTTTGATGTTTCTATGTCTCTCATAAATTAAACGTTATCATTAATTGCTTTCATTAACAGGAAAAGCAGCCAGCATTGCTGGTTTATGTATCACTCCCCAGGAACTGCAGGGGCAGCTGGGGGAGTGTGGACAGTACTGTCCTGTCAGCCTTGCAGAGAAAGGTGAACTGGTTGACTGCTCTGTAAGCCCCTCACTGGAGTTTGCTGCTGAATTTCAGGGGCGCTATTACAGAATGGCTTCACAGGAAGAACTGGAAGTGCGTATCAAAAAAGCAGGTCAAAAAGGAGGGGATTATGAAAAGAGGGAACATTGTTGCTTAGATTCTTTGATTCCATACAGAAATAGGTAATATGCAACTTGAATTAGACCACTGTTGTTAGCATTCAAGCTTTTGTTCTGCATACTTCTGCTATCAAGTGTCTAGGCAGACAAAATCGAGCACAGGCACCATTAAACTAAAGCTCGTCTTACAAATTGTCACAGACCAAACATTCATTTGAAAACAGTAACTTTCTCCTTTCTTTATCTGTTGTGGAGAGACTGGGTTAGAAAGTGGTTTATGACAGCAGTAGATAGTGATGGATGGTGGGTGAATGGTGACTACTTCAGCTGAGAGATTTTGGAAAAGAAATTACCCAAGAGCAACAGCAATGCCAACACACTGTTGCATTGTAGAAAAATTAGGTATCTAAACTGTGTGAGCCAGTCCTCTGGAGTTTGACTAACAGTCCTATAGTGCTTCTTTCATTATAAAAACTTTTTTTTTCCTGCAGAAATTCTTGAGCAAACCTGAGGTTTATGTATCATCACTGGCATCTCACCCTCTGCCACCCCCACATATGCTACCAAAGAAATTGACTGCAGCAGAAGTGAAGGCCTTATTCCCTGTAAAGCCTGAAATGCAGGGATACTGTCCAGTCACTTACCTAGATGGAAAACAGAGGTATGTCACTAGAGTTTTCATAATCTGAATTACAGAATATGTGTCCTATATTAATGCATTAATGAGGGAATATTTTCAAAGTACTTTTTAATGTTGTTCAGGATTTAGACAGGAAAAGCAATTGCAATTCTCTACATTGTACCCGTGGCTTTGGAAATCAAGATAAAATCACCTTTTAAAACTTACATGGCTACAGGTTCTACAAGAATCTGTGTTGGCTTGGTGTCTTTCATGATGAAGATGGGCAGATATAGTTTGAATTCTCTCTATCTCTATAACCCTTCAAAGGTTAAAAGAAATCTCATAAATCCCTAGTAGATGCAAAACTACTTATTATGATTTTTGTAGAGATCCATAAAGCTCTACCATAAAATGACACAGATTTCCTCAGTGTGCAAGAATTTATGATCAGAGGAGAACCATAATAGCCAATTCTATGTTATCCCTTTTTAATCTCCTGAACAAATATGATTGGCATTTTAAATGGAGGAGCTCTAAAGAAGCACTATAAAAGTTCCTTAATAAGCAGATTTTAGGCAGAGACTTTATGAGATTTTTAACCTTGTAACTGTCCATCATGTAGTGGAAACTTAGATGATCCAATTGCTATTTTTTTTGTGGTTGCTACACTTGCCAAATTACCAGAAGGCTAGCAATAGCTCATGAATTTACTCCACACAAATTATGTTTTATGTTTTCTGTGAATGAATTATTCTTGCTCCATCTCTTCAGATATGAAGCTCTGGTGCCTGGCAACATCGAGTATGCAGCAAAATACCAAGACAAGGTATATATTTTTGAAAGTGAAGAAAAACTTCAGAAGTTTATGAGGTAAATACACTAACTGCATCTTAATTTTCAATCATGCCACTGTTCATACATCTTAAAAGTGCTTACTTTATATCTGGTTAGGTTACCAGAGAAGTATGGGAATCTGAAGCTTCCCCATAAACTCCCTCCAAAAAAAGAGCCAATGCTATTAACTACACTTCCTTTGCCTGGATACCTTGAACAGGCCAGTTTTTGTTTTTCTATTTTAAAACATGATTTTGTGATATATAGCATATCCCACTCAGTTGTTGGGGTTTTTTTTGGGTTTTGGTTTTGTTTTTTTTTTTGTTTTGTTTTGTTTTGTTTTGTTTATTTTTATTTTTAATGCATTTGAGTCTTATATTTATTAATGAGATTATATTAAATTGAAAATGTTTTAGTTATAATTGAGAGTAATTTTTTTAAAGCTTTAAAATAACAGATGTTTGTAGCTTTAATGGAAAAAATACAAGCCTGTCAGAGAGGGATAATAAGCTGCAGTATTATAGGATAGATTTTCTGACTTATTTGTTTATCATATCTTGTAAGAGCACATTTTAGTTTGACTTTTAACACCAGCATAGACACAAACTTACTTGGAAAAATTTAAGACTAGTTTGATACACTTTGACACATGAATAAATAAAAAAATGATTCATGGTCACAGCCCTCCCTATTTTATGCTAATTTGTTGTCTTCTACTGTTCACCAACTTAGGATATCATCCTGTATTGTTAGAGCTGCGTTACAACAGGATAAGGCATTGCTCAAGATTTCTGTAATGGTCTTTTAAACCTATTTTCTTTCTTTAGGGAGTTGCAACTTCTCTAATAAAAGCTCTGCATGAAGTTGGCAGCCTTAAGCCAAAGTTTCCATTCCTAAGTGTGAAAGAAACTGCTCTGCTTTTTGTCTCCTTCCATCTAAAAGGTAGTGTATAAAATAGTATGCTATAAAAATAACAAATTGTATAAATGTCATAAGTCCTTTGATACAATATAGATAGCCAATTAGTGTTCATATTTGCTTTTCTTTAGAATTTCTGTTTGGGTTTTTTTCAACCAGAGATATCAGTTGCACGTAATAATATTTAATAGTTTGCAGTCAGCTTAACTATTGCCAGCTTTCTCAATTTCAATGTCCTTGTCTGCAGCTCTGCTATAGCTTTGGGCTGGTTTCTAGTACTGCTGGAGATTTCTGGAGCAAGACTGACATTTCTTTCAACCCACCACTTTTGTCATTTGTAAGCCAACCTGTTCACTTGGTGAACTTCGCCTGGCCTTTTGTATTTTACATTTTTACTCATTCTTTTAGATAATACCAATCTTAATTATTTTTTCAAAGCTCTTCACATCCTGTGTTTCCTCATGTAGTTTCCAAAGCCCTCCAGAATTTTCTTGAACTGTCACAGATTTTTTTTTTTTTTTGCTAGCACAGGTTTTTGCAGGAAGACCATTGAACAGTGCAAGCACATGTTTAAGCCCCTGCATAAATGTACAATTCCTAAGCCACCAAACTGCTTTTATACTGTAGTTTGCTTCATTCACAAAGGCTGTTTTCATTCTATTGTTAGCATGGCTTTGCTAACATAAGGATGCCCATGCTAGGAATGTTTTGCTCATATATTGCGACATTAAATCATTATTAGTAATGGATGATGAACCAGAAGGGTTATGCAAGTGCAGAAATCTCTTCTTTTCATGCAGTGCCAAACAGTTTGACCATAGGAATCCAGGAAAACAAGTTATCTTCTTCTAGCACTGGGTAGGACTGCTTCCAGCTTTGAGATATAGCTTTCCTGTACACTGACAAATCACTTGAATGTGAGGAAGAACTTCTTTCATGTGCTAGTGACCAAACACTAGTGACCACACAGATTTCCTAGAAAAGTTGTGGAGTCTTCATCAGTGGCAATATTCAAGAGCCATCTGAACACAATCCTGTGCCATGTGCTCTGGGATGACCCTGCTTGAGCAGGGAGGTTGTCCCAGATGACCCAATGTGGTCCCTTTCCAGCCTGACCCATCCTGTGATTTTGTGATTAGTTGCAAATACAGAATTATTTATTATTGTGCATCTCTTCAGAGTAGTCATGCTATTCTTGATAAAAAAAATTGATCGAAGCACCTTAAGTTGTGGTCCCCTGGAAATTTCATCCTATTTCTATGTGAAGTTAGACCTTCTCATCTTCAATTAGCATCATTCTCTAATCTTACATTTAAATAGGGGACAAGAAGCAGGAGTTTAGTTCCTGCTAAGGAACTAAAGCTCCTTCAGCTTCTCTCACTACACTGGATTGCTTTCAGTATCTGAGAAGGTACAGGTGATCAACCAAAAATGCAGAGGGATTTACTCCTGGAAAGAGAGTCGTAAAACCTATATCTCTAGAGAGCTTGAGTGTCCTTCAAGCTGGACTCCTGTAGGGGCTATTTTCAGAGCTATGCTTGAAAAGTCTCTCAGAAACTGTTAAATGTAGCTGTCTACAGTTTAAAGTTAGTGGGCTGAAGTGAAGTGTCTTATGGCATAGTTCTTCATGCTGTCCAGTTTTTGTAATGAGATATAAAATATTGTCCATAAGAAAAAAAAAAATTGTTATGATTTGGCTCACTCCTTCCCCTTTGCCTTGGGATAACAACTAAAACAATAAACTGTACTCTGAGGACTGGCACTCAGTACTAATGGATGCCAAAATATGGCTTAGGGCAGAGAGAAACCTTCCTTCCTCCTCCAAACTACAGGTCAGCTCTTCACAGAATGCTGAGTTGGAAGAGACCACAGTGATCATTGAATCCAACTCCTGGCACTGCAGAAGACCATCCCCAAGATCCAATGTCCTGTCCAAATGCTTTTTCAATGCTGTCAGGCTTGGTACTGTGACCATTTCCCTGGGGAGTCTGTGCCAGTACCAAACCACTCAACCCAGTGAAGAACCCTTTCCTGATATCCAGCCTAACCCTCCCCTGACACAACCTCAGGCTATTCCCTCGGGCCCTGTCACTGGTTACCACAGAGAAGTAACTAAGTACCACACATCAGTGCTTCCTGCTCCTCTTCCCCTCAGGAGGATGCTGAAGACTGTAATGAGGTCTCCTCTCAGTCTCCTCCAGGCTGAACAGACCAAGTGACCTCAGCTGCTCATTATATGGCTTCCCCTCAAGGCCCTTCACCATCTCTGTTGCCTCCTTTGGACGCTCTGATAATTTAATGCCTTTCTTATATGGTGGTGCCCAAAACTGCACACAGGACACGAGATGAGGCCACCCCAGTGCAGAGCAGAGTGGGACAATCCCTTCCCTTGCCCAGCTGGCCATGCTGAGCCTGATGCCCCCAGGACACCACTGGCCCTTCTGGCTGCCAGGGCACTGCTGACTCATGTTCCACTTGTCATCAGCCAGGATACCCAGGTCCCTTTCTGCAGCACTGCTTCCCAGCCTCTCATTGTCCAATCTGTCCGTGTATCCATCCCAGGTACAGCATCCAGCACTTTCCCTCATTGAAATTCATATGGTTGGTGATTGCCCAATCCTCTGATTTGTCAAGGTCTCTCTGCTGGGCCTCCCTGCCCTCGAAGGAATCAACAGCTCCTCCCAGTTTTTTATCATCTGTGAGCTCTCTTAATGTCCCTTCCAGTCCTGCATCCAAGTCATTTATGAAGATGTTGAAGAGCACAGGGCTGGGGATGGAGCCCTGTGGGAAACCCATCAGTGACAGGTCACCAGTCCAATGTCACCTCATTCCCTGTAACCCTTTGTGCCTGACTGGTGAGCCAGTTGCTCACCCATGGCATGATGTGTTTATCCAGCTGTGTGCCTGACATTTTGTCCAGATGGATACTGTGAAAGAAAGTATTGAAAACTTTACTGAAATTAAAAAAGATTACATCAACTGGTGTCTCTTGGTCAACTAGGTGGATTATTACCTTGTCATACAAGGAAATCAGGTTTGATAGGCAGGACTTTTCTCTCATGAAGCCATGCTGGTCACAGTCCTGCTTATCAAACCTGACTTCCTTGTGTGACAAGGTAGCCCACCTTATAGGCAAAGCATTTAGGTCATAGAACACCTGTGCCAAGGACACAGTGGCCCAGCATGAGCCATACCAGACCTGGGCTATCCCCAGGATGTGCCACTTTGGGTTGTGTGCCACACTACCCAAATTTGTCACTGCCTGGTGTTTCACCAGTATCTCACAGTCTGAGAAATGAGAAGTTGACAGCAACTGGGCATGTTTGTTGTGTCTTCTTTTAGAAAAGCCTGATCCTTTTGATTGTCATAGCTATTTGGAATCAGGAACTTTCTGAAATACCAGACTTGATCTTTTTGGCTTGGCACCAACAGTCAAGGTGTTTATCTGTACCACGGGTGATGGTAACAGAGGTAGACTTGGTCCCTTTGAAAATTTCTGTAATGTAATTGCATAAAGTTTGTAGGAGACACTAACATGCTGCTTAAATTCTTGCAGCACACAACCCCCGGAGCTCAGAGCCAGTGCGGCAGATGTACAGGAAGAAGCTGCTGCAGTTTGTGGAGCACTGCCAACTCATCCCCTACCTGGGGACTGCCATGAGGGGCCCGTATAAGGAGCCAAGAGATCGGCCCCGTGGCTTTGATGACAGACTGCAGACTTTTTTTTCCCTGAAAGGCACTCGCCCCACTTTTGTGTGAACCCTGTATTTCCACTGATTTTAACCCATGGAGTGTTGCCATCAGGCACCAGCATGGCTGCAACATGGCCTGCAAATATCACACGTTCTCAGGCCAGTTTTTTAACCATGAAATCTTAGAAATAAAATCTTTTGTCTGAAGTTGAGAGACATCAAGCTACTAGAGAGCGTCCAAAGGAAAGCTATGACCATAGTGAAGGCCCTTGAGGGGAAGCCATATGATGAGCAGCTGAGGTCACTTGATCTGTTGAGCCTGGAGGAGACTGAGGGGACACCTCATTGCCATCTACAACGCCCTCGTGAGTGGGAGAGGAGGGGTAGACACTATCTCTTCTCTGTGGTGCCCAGTGACAGGACGCGAGGGAATGGCCTGAAGTTGTGCCAGGGGAGGATTAGTTTAAATATTAGGAAAAGGTTTTTCACCCAGAGGGTGGTTGAGCACTGAACGGGCTCCCCATGGAAGTGGTCACAACACCAAGCCTGACAGAGTTCAAGGAAAGCATTTGGCAACGCTCTCTGCTACACGGTGTGTTTTTGGGGACTGTCCTGGGCAGGGCCGAGGGCTGGCACCGGATGATCTGTGCGGGCCCCTTCCCAGCCGGGCTGCTCTGTGATTCCGTGCTCCAAGTCCCGCCCGTGCTGCGCTCATTGCGGCAGCGCAGGCGCGGTGCCAGCCCCGGCCCGGAAGTGCAGCGGCAGCGGCGGCGGCGAGCGGTGAGTGGTGAGTGCCGAGTAGGGCGGGCGGCACCGGGCCGGGTGCTCCCGGCCCGCGGCTTTCGCGGGGCAGCGCCCGCTCCCTGCACCCGTCCCACGAGGAACGCGCGGCCTCCCCTTGAGGGGCGGCCCGAAGGGCTCACACGGTGCGCGGGGGCGGCGACCCGCACGGTGCCCTTGGCCGTGCCGAGGCCCAGCCCCGGGCCGTGCGCTGCCCCCCGGGGTCACCTCCCGGGAGCTCCCGAGTCCTTCCACGGCTGGAGCGGAGCGTGTATCCGAACGGACTGCCGGCAGCGTGGGGCCTTCTGCCGGAGTACAGCCTCACTCTGTGATGGTGGGGGGGTTTAGGGAAGTTGCGTGGTTTGGATTTTGCAGTCAAAATAATAATGCTGTCACCTCGTGGTTAAACATCGACGTCCTTCATGCGATCAGAACTCACAAAACACCCACTACCTTGTCTGGAACACGTGTGGAGGTTAGGGGATGCCTGCAGGCAGAGTTGGCAGCAGCCGTCCAGGAATTCTTATATTGCACGATAAGGCAGGTTGGGTCACACCTGCAGCTGTGCTTTAAGGTGCTCCAGCAACAAACATCGGGCTCACATGCTTTGGAAATTAAAGCTCCCAGATAAAACAATTTGACTCTGCCGTGAGCTATTTGGTAGCTGATTAGGTCTAAAGAATCCCTTTTTCACCATCTCAGTAGCATTTAGGTATCTGTAGGTAGTGTCTGCTGTTTCATGGAGCATTTGTTCAGGTCATTGAAACTGTTGCACTAACTGAATACAAATATGTAAATTTATGTGTGTTTAATGTGACACTTGTATTATCTTTAGTTTAGCTGAGTTTTATCAATAGGACATTTCGGGCATACCTCTCCCATAATATTTGGTGGATTCTTTTGAAATTGATGGATTTTTTTGTTTATTATTAATTTTTGCAAATTTACTATTGAAGAAGCCTAGCAAGTCAAATTGATCATTAATAGATACCTTAATGAGCCCTATATTAGACAGAACCCTTCAAAACACTGCTGTTTCTGTATTACCTACCTTCTTAGGCTGAAGCTTAGTAAAGTTAAAAGTGTTGGAAGTGTTAAAAAAGTGAAACTGTTAAAAAAAGAGACATTTTCAGAACGATAGATGGGAGGTAAAAGACATTATGAAGTCCTGCCATATTGATACCAGTGAAGTTTTATCACAGAATCACTAGGTTGGAGGAGACCTTTAAGATCATCTAGTCCAACCCATGCCCTAATACCTCAAATAAACCATGGCATCATTTCTTAGAGGATTTCCTAGCTTGTCCCTGAGTAAACTGCACTGATCAAACTGCAGTTGACCTTTTTGTTTCCAGTGTGGTGGATTGGGGCTGGCTGGACACCAGTGCCCACCAGAGCTGCTCCATCACTCTCCTCCTCAGGTGAACTGTGAACAAAGGATATATTGGAAGCTCATGGGTTGAGATAAGAGCAGAGAGAAATCACTCACCAGTTTCCAGCACAGGCAAAACAGACTTGACTTGAGGAAATTACTTTATTGTCAGTAAGATCACTGTCAGGTAATGAGAAATAATCTTCAAACCCAAATCTTCAAACCGCTCACCTCACCTCTCCCTTCTTTCCAGGCTCAGCTTTAGTCCCAGTTTTCTCTACCTACTCCCACCAGCAGTGCAGGGGGATGGAGAGTGGGGGCTGCAGTCAGTTCATCACACATTGTCTTTGTTTCTCCTTTGACTTCTCACACTTCACCTGCTCCAGCATGGGGTCTCCCACAGGAGACAGTCCTTCCATGAATACTTTAGCCTGAGTCTTTCCCATGGGCTGCAGTTCTTCACAAAATGCTCCAGCTTGGATCCCTTCCACAGGTGCACTCCTTCAGGAACAGTCTGCTCCAGCCTGGATTCTCCATGGGGTCATAAGTCCTGCCAGCAAACCCATGTCAGTGTGGGCTCCTTTCTCCATGAGGCCATAGATTCTGCCACGAGCCTGCTCCAGTACAGGCTTCCAGCCTCTTTCAGGCATCAGCCTGCTTTGGTATGGGGTCCTCCAGGGGCTGCAGGTGGCTCCACCATGGACCTCCATGGGCTGTAGGGGCACAGCTGCCTCCCCATGGTCTGCACCAGGGGCTGTGGGGGAATCTCTGCTCTGGAACCTGGAGCACCTTCTTCCCCTCCTTCTGCACTGACCTTGGTGTCTGCAGGGCTGCTGTTCCCACATACTCTCGCTCCCCTCTCCAGCTGCAGTTGTGCACATTTCTTTCCCCCCTATTAAATCTGTTATCCCAGAGGTGATACTACCATCCACTAATGGGCTTAGCCTAGGCCAGCAGTGGGTCCATCTTGGAGCCAGCTGGTGTTGGCTCTGTAAGACATTGGGGAAGCTTCTGATAGCTTCTCACAGAAGCCACCTCTGTAACTGCCCCACTATCAAAGCCTTGCCATGCAAAGCCAGTGCTGTACAAAGGAGCTGTGACCAAGGAATTGTTTCTGTCTGATTGTTTTAGTTTCAGAAGCAAGCGTAGCAAATTTTTTTAGATAATACAGGGTTCGTAGTACATCAGAGATAAAAAAAAATAGGCAGTAATTCTGATCTAAAAAACTATCTGTAGCCTTTTCATAGGATTTTAAAATACTTTTTCAAGAAGTTCCATATTAGCAGTAGTGTTGATTTTTCAAAAGCTCAGAGGATTCAGAATTGCTTCAGAAACTCTTGAACTCCGTTACTGGTATAACAAATGATACTTGGGTCTTATAATGCCGTCTGCTAAAATAATTTTTTACTAAAGCTATCGTGTTTTTCTAGGCACCTCCTGTAATATTCATAATTAAAATGGCAAAAACAACTGATCCTTCTGAGAAACTGATCATCCACTCCAAAGCTCACAAAGATACCATTCTAGCTAATTTTGAGGAACAAAGAAAAAAGGATTTTCTTTGTGACATTACTCTGATAGTGGAGAATGTGCAATTTAGAGCCCATAAAGCTTTGCTGGCTGCCAGCAGTGAATACTTCTCAATGATGTTTGTAAATGAGGGTGAAATAGGCCAGTCAATTTATATGTTGGAGGGAATGGTGGCAGACACCTTTGGAGTTCTGCTAGAATTTATTTACACTGGTTGCCTCTGTGCCAGTGAGAAAAGCACAGAACAAATCCTGGCTACTGCACAGCTGCTGAAAGTAACTGACTTGGTCTGGGCCTGTACAGACTACCTGGAAAGCCGCAGCCCAGGTAGTGCATTGCCAGCTCCAGCTGAAAGTGTAGCCTCTGTTGTTGCAAGTGACAGGAAAAATGATGATCCTCCAAAGCGAAAACGGGGGCGGCCAAGGAAAATCAAGATTGTCCAAGAAGAAGAAGAAGAATCAGGAGCAAATTCTGCCGAAGATGGGCAGCTGAGAGAGAACAACTCTATGCAAAATGAGCAAAATTATATGAAAAAAGACACTGAAGTAGAAGAAACAGTTGCCAATGAACAGGCTTCAGTGAGGAAGGATGGAGAAGAAACTGAACCTGCTTCTGGCTCAGAGGCTGCTGTTGATCTATCAGCTGAGAAAGATGAAAACTACGATCCCAAATCTGAAGGAATACAGAGCACTCAGAGCCGTTACAGCAAACGTAGAATAAGGAGATCAATCAAACTAAAAGATTACAAACTTCTTGGGGATGAGGATGAGAAAGGACTGGCAAAGAGAGCTGATGGAAAAAGAAAGCGTGTGGGTTCTGAAGCTCGCTGTAAAGACTGTGGCAAAGTATTTAAGTACAATCACTTCTTGGCTATTCACCAGCGAAGCCATACAGGTAGGCCTTGACAGACTGCTGCTTTTGGGTTAGGTTAAGGAATGTTGCCAAAGGCAAGTGACTCTTGAGGTGTTGGTTGTTGACTACAGCAAGAATATCCAAAATAGCATGCTGGTCCAAATTACGGTTTGTTCTGTGTCTGCTGTTTTATTCTTGTCAGCAGATCTCAGAACTTTTATGTCTCACCTAGATTTCAGTGTAAATAATTTCATTGTTTAAGCACTGAATTATATGGCAATAGCTAAAGAATTATTTTATTCCTGTTTGAAGCTTGCCTCTTTACCACTAATCGAGACTAATTTTTTCAGTAGCTACAACATTGCAGTGCATCTCACTATCAGCTTAGACTTTGTAGTGAGAAATGATGCCTCTATGCCTAAAAATGCTGTCTTTTGCTTTCAGGGGAACGCCCTTTCAAATGCAGTGAGTGTGGCAAAGGCTTTTCCCAGAAGCATTCTCTTCAAGTGCATGAGCGGATGCATACCGGGGAACGGCCGTACACGTGCACCATTTGCAGTAAGGCTCTGACAACAAAGCATTCTCTTCTGGAGCACATGAGCCTACATTCAGGTAAATACTTCAAGGCAAATGTAGCTCTCTGCTGCAAGAATTTGCCTTTCTGAAAACAAGGTACTTCTGATTCATCTTGTGTATACTGGTGTCACATTCCACTAAGGGAAACTGTGAGGAGTTCTTTTAAAAATGGATAGTCAGGAACAAAATAATGTCAAATGAGACAAACTTTGTATCTGAGAATCTTTTATTGGTAATGAAAAAAACAAAATGAAAAGTTATCCTGCTAAAGAGAGCTAGAGAAGACAGAACAAGAGAAAGAAATATGGGAGAGGAATGGGAAGAGAGAGAGGGGAGACAGAGAGAAAAAGAGGGCTTTACCACCAGCGGTCGAGGAGTGCCGTCAAGGTGGGGGATGTGCATGCTGCCAGCCTGGGCACGGCTCCTGCAGTGACGGGCAGCTGGACACAAGGTGAGGGGTGCTCAGGCAGGAGGTCCAGAGCCCTGGACACAGTTGTGGCAAGGATCACAGCGGTGGGCTGGCTGGGAGGTGGGCAGGGTTGGACGCAAGGACATTGGGACAAAGCAGACAGGGAGTTGGTCAGGGACACAGGGAGGAAGGACAGATGCAAGGGTGAGCAAGAGCCAGCGAGGGCAAGAGAGCCAAAAGGCAGGCTGGGGCCAGGGCAAAAGGCATAAGACTCAAAAAGCGCCAAATCAAAACCAAGTTGCAAAAAGCCCCTCGAATCACCAAGCCTCAGAAGCAAAAGCACAGTCTGAAAAAAGCCCCAAGCCAAAAGCCCAACTCAGAAAGCAAGTTTGAAAAGCCCCGGGACTTGTGACGCAGTTATATTTCATGCCCCGGCTCCTCCAAAAGTCCACCTGCTGACAGGAGACCATTGGCCCAGTCCAATGTCCCAGTGCAGTTCATTGGCAGAGACCTTTTGCCATTTGACTGGAGAGTGTCTCTGGGGTACAGTGTCTTCAGTGTTCCCCTCCTGACTGCCAGTCCCATGCCAGACATGAACTGGTTGCCAAGCAAGGTCTCCCCAGAGGCAAGGCTTTCCTCCATCTTTTCCCAGTGCCTCCTGGGCGTGGCACATGTGCAACCCCTCTCACATGTGCCTCTGAGAGCCATTGTTGAGGCAAATCAAAACTGAATTGGCTCCTCACAGCTGACTTTTGTATTTTATTTATTTCCTTACACTTACTTTGGACGTGGCTTACCTTTTAATAAGTGATTTTCTCCACAGGGCAGAAGGCTTTTACCTGCGATCAGTGTGGGAAATACTTCAGCCAAAAGAGACAGCTCAAGAGCCACTATCGACTACACACAGGTATAACAAGTTTGGGTTGAGGACCTGGCTTACAGTCGATGCTGATTTGTCCTCCTAAAGATTGACTTAGGCTGAAAGTTCTTCCTCAGTGATGTATTTAGTCTCTGCTACCTTGATGTGTCCTGTGTTGGACAGGTATAAAACACTGAATAGGGTGAAAAAGACATGATGGTGTATAGTAAATGCAATGTGTAGGAAAGTGTTTAGTTGAGAAGGGCTCTTATGATGATTAAAAATTAGTTACACTGTATTTGACATACAACTTGACTATTTTAGCCCTGCTGTCCATGCTATATAGAAGCTATGAATTGTATAAACAATTGTGTCTGCTGCCTGGTGTGCAAATCGCATTGTAGTTGCCCACTACTTTGGACTAGTAAAGGCATACAAGCTTTAGGAAGTGTTTTTCTCGCTTCTGGAATGGGATGGAGCTACACAAAGAGGAAGTGGTGGAGAAAATCAGAATTTACAAAGCTTCAAGTGAAGGTGTTTTTGGGTAGGAGCAGGTGTCAGTCCTCTCTTTTCCTGTGGTAATACTAAATTGAGAAATAGGAATGTGACAGTTAAGATAGGGAGGAGGCAGTGAATCACCTTCTGTTTTATCTCTATATTATAGCAAAGTGGTTATTTTACAGGGAAGTGCTTTAACAAAGATCACTGAAGAGATACAGGGGATCACTTATGCACTGACACTTTTTTTGTTATTGCGACAAGGCCGTTCACTGCCGGAATGTAACCAGTGTCGTCGCAAATTCATGGATGCAGCTCAGCTAAAGAAACATCTAAGAACACACACAGGTAATGTTGTACCTTGGGTTTTGTGGGGTTTGTGGTTAGTTTTTTCTTGAAGTTACAGGGACAAAAAGATGTTAAGCAAATTACACTTGTCTCTGTGGCATGAACTTCTGCTCTACTTGTGCATAATGATGCCTGTGTTGCTAATGAAGAGATTTGACATCAAGAATGCAGGAGCACAAAAAAGCTTGTGTTACAGCAGCACAGAAGCAGTGCCTATTACAGGAAGACGGCTTTTTTTTCCAGTTTTATAAAACCTGCTGCAGAAAATGCCAGTTAGCTTTCCCGTGATAGAATTCTGGACTGAGAATTCAGTTCATTGGGAGAGTTGTATCCAGTATGTATCAGGCTTGCAGTGAGCTGACAAGCAACAGAAGGTGTGTGTCCTAAATGAGTTGGACACCTCTGTCTGTGAGGGATGGGTGCTTATGAAAAGTGCTGTGGCCAGGAAAATAATTATTTCCATTTAGCTTTTACTGTGCCATAATAAACCAGATGTTGAGAGGAGATGGGCTGGAAGGGATGATTTAATGCAAGTGCGTCAGAGGATGTTTTAAGAGATTTAGAGGGCAGGCTGGTAATGAATCACTGGATAGCAGAGATAAAAATGTTGATCTATCCTCTCATAATAGCAAGGCATAAACTTCATAAAATACTTCTCTTTGAAAAATAAGTTCATAAGGTGACATGTGAATAATTTTGTCTTTTAAAGTAACTAGAAATGGTGGCAATTGTTTCCTCACAAAATCAAATTATTCTTAAGTGTGTTGCTTGCAGTTGTAATACATAACTCATTCTCAAGCATACTTTATCTCATTCATTTCCTTCTCTTTTCTAAGTGAAAAAGATTTAAATTTTCTGGGATATGCTAAGGCCAAAACTTGTGTTTCTGGAAGCTTTTGGTTACTGAGAATAGTGCTAGCATATGATACTTACATAATTTTGTATGGAGGAGAACTCAGTGTTGACACACACAAGAGTTTTGTATCTGTTGCTGATACAGCTCTCTAAATGTAGTGGGAAATGAGTTTGGGGTGGGAAATGAGAAGAGGAAGCTTACTAGCAAGGTAAGTTGCAAAAATATATGAGCTAAGCTGATTTTTAGCATAAACTGGCTTGCAATATATTTTGCTACTAGAAAAGACAGGCAAGATACAGACAGTATTAATTATATAGAAATAATAATTCACCTGTCCCATCCCAAAAGCAAAGTACAATTCCAAGGCATTTGGGGGACGGGTTCACATAATTACAACTGTTCTACTTTGGCAGTAGTTTGGTAACACTGTGTTGTAATAATACAGTCTACTTGGGAAGTTACTCCTGTTTTCAGTAGCAAGCTGGTACTGGGTGACCAGAGGTCCCTTCTGACAAATGTTTCTTGTTCTCTCATCCTTTATCCATGCCCTCCAAAGCCACATGAAAGCTGGTAAGCATTGCAGTTCTATGCTAAATGGGAAGCTTCCTTGGAAACTGGCTGCTGCCCAATCCTTGGGTTTGGTGTGCTTTGATGGTGTGAATTACCACAGTGGTGATCTGGATTCTCGTGTCTGGTACCTTAAAGAGCCTCAGTGCTACAAGGATTTGTTATGGTGTGAATTAGGATTTGCTTTGGTTGGGTAGTATCTGTTTCTTATGAACTTTCTTATAATTGAATTTGGCCTCTCTGCTTCTACTCAATTATCATCAGAATTCCAAATGCACTAAAAAAACCCCCAACAAATAAACAAAAAATCCCCAAACAAACTCACATTTTATTTAACTCACAATAATTTAATTTTTTTTCTAACTGGTGTTTCCAGACTATCATAGGCCTAGTGTGATGGAGCCTTATAGAAAGCCAGGCAAGTTGTTAAGATAATGGCTTAATTTTCCAGCTTTGGAAGTTTGGGCTTACTCACATGGATGGTGCTGCACGTGAACGTGGCATTAATGGCAGGGTTCAGGGACAGCCTTTTTCAGAGCGTTTCTGTTCCATGTGGAACACACACATCTGTGCCATAGGTACAGCTTTTTGTTGCTTTGGGGGCTTGGATCACCTAATTCTTCATCTTCAAAGGGGAGAAATGCTAGAGGTGAACATTTAAAATGTTATACCCTCATTTTGACTAGTGAGTTCTTTCAGTTTTGGATATCTGCTGAACCATGGCAGAAGTGTGAGGAGCCATCAGTGCACGCTTGATACTGTATATGGTGAAACACAAAATGTTTTTAATGAATTGATGAAAAGTGCTATTTCAAAAGGAAAGTCACATTTCTTTTTGATAGGTGAGAAGCCCTTCACTTGTGAGATTTGTGGCAAATCATTTACAGCTAAAAGTTCACTTCAGACTCACATTAGAATTCACAGGTAAAGTATGTCTTATTTTCATTACATTCTTTTAAAATGCAACTTCTAGTCTTATAACTAGAAGTAGTGCTTATTTAACTGTAGAACGGTCAGGACTTGTTTCCATTTTGAATGATTGTTAAAATTTAACATTTTTGCTTAATCTATGTAAGGAAAAAATTGGTAGTGGAAAGTACTGAAGTCCTAAAATCCTCATGCACCAAGATATTGTTAGAGTCTTCTTTGGTGTTTTGTGTCTGTTCACTGACAGTGTACTTACTGCTATACTATTTTTGTGAAAATTTTACTGTAGGTTTTGTTTAAGAGCAGAACAGTAGCCGTGGTGTATCAAGGTTATTGGAGCATTGTCCTGTTGTCCCGTGAGCTATCCTGTCTCTTTAACAGCATTAGTTGTCTTTTACCCCTGTCAGTGCAGTGCATTGCATAAAGACAGTTTTCAGATTTTAAATCACTGGAGAACTGTTGTCTAAGAAAACATTTCCAGTAAAATTTCTTGTCCTTTTGACACAGGCAGCAAGTTAGGATTTGGAAACTTCTTTTTGGTTTTAAGTCCACGCTGTTAATGAATGTTCTTAAAATGGTCAGTGCTTTGAATTGTGCAAAGTTGTTGCATTCTTGTCAAGGTCTAGCAGCATGGAGCTTGTACCTCTGTTTTTATGAGAGTAAGGCAGTTATCGCTGTAGCTCTGGAGTATATAACAGTTGGTGAAGTCAAATAGAGATAATCAGGAGATCAAATAGAGGATGTTTTTAACACTACCCTTAAGGACTTACAATTTAGAGAAACAATGTAATCATTTAAGTGTTTTATTACAGAATAAGTTCCAGAAAGCAGCATTGTCAAAGTGAATATTTTAATGAGATCAAGTTCTTTCCTATTGCAGAGGAGAAAAGCCATATTCTTGTGATATATGTGGAAAATCCTTCTCTGATTCCAGTGCTAAGAGAAGACATTGTATCTTACACACAGGCAAAAAGCCTTTTGCCTGCCCAGAATGTAGTTTGCAGTTTGCTCGTCTGGACAACCTGAAGTCTCATTTGAAAATTCACAGCAAGGAAAAGCAGTTTCAGGAAGGCAGCGCCGCCCCGAGCACCAACGCTCATCCGGAAGAAGTGCGAAACATTCTCCAGCTGCAGCAGTACCAACTTGCCACCTCGGGAGGGCAGGAAATTCAGCTGCTGGTTACGGATGCAGTACACAACATCAACTTCATGCCCAGCCACAATCAAGGCATCAGTATTGTGACTGCAGAAAATGCCCCCAGCATGACCACAGAGCAGGCTGCCAACCTCGCGCTCCTTGCGCAGCCACCGCAGCAGCTGCAAAACTTGTTGCTTTCAGCTCAGCAGGAGCAAGCGGAACAAATTCAAAGTATCAATGTGATTGCAAACCAAATAGAGGCTGCCCAGCCTGAACAAATGCATGTCATCACTCTTTCCAAGGAAGCGCTGGAACATCTCCATGCTCATCAAGGACAAAATGAACAAATCCACTTGCCGGGATCTTCACATCCAGCTCAGCACGTGCAGCTGGCTCAGGAATCAAGTCAGCAGTCTCACTCTAACCACGACTCAGTTCCTTCCCATCAAGTCAGTGAAGAACAGAATCAAAGTGTACTTGTTTCTGAATCCCATCAGCAGCCTCTGTCAGTAAATGAGTCATCTCCTGAGCATCCTATCGAGGGACAGGCTTTCTGAAATGCTTGTTTGTCAGCAGACGGCTAGGCCAGAGAACACTTCTCATCCCAGCAGGGATTACACGTGTCACATGTGGGTTTTTTGCAACATAAGCTATCCAAAGATGCATTTCTTGGTGATTTTGGATGAGTGACTCAATTTCCTTAACCATATTTATTTTAGACTACTTTGTTTTTCTGGATTGGTATTTCTTTACCATACTTAGTCCTCACAAGTATCTCACAAGCAATTAATGTGGGGTTTTGTGCCTCATTCACATATCTGCCTCCTGAGGAGATATTTAGCCCTTATTTGCATTTCTGAGTGACTCTCCAGAGAAGTTCACCTGGCTGGTAGGAGAACAATGTTTAGGACATCTGTGGATCATAAAGTACCACTTCTTTGACAAATTTAACATTATACCTGAGCTACTGTCAAGCTTAAGACGACCAGTACTTTTTGCAAAGCTAACACCATATTTCTTCTGTTTAATGAGCTTTCTGGAGGTTAATGTATAATTATGTAATCATTCCCTGAAGTGCATTATGAGTTACTGACTACCAAATTCATTTGGTTTGGGTTGAAACTGTCTGCAGCCTTTAACTAGCCCTGAATCTTCCCTCCTGTTTACTGTGTGCTGTCCACATCTTGCTCCTCAGAAACATTTAAGCCATTGCACTTGAATAGTGGCAATGAGATGCAATGGTTACACTGGAGAACTGAAACCCCACAGATTCTGCTCTGTTAGTTCTGCCACTCACTCTGTGTGTGACTGTGGGCAAGGTAGTTGACCTCTGTGCCTTATTTCATCATCTAGTTAGTGGGGATAGTGTTCACACACTCTGCCAAGCACTTTGAAGAGCTCTTGATGTTGAAAGCACTGTCTCTTGAAGTGCAAAACCCTTTTTCTGACAGGATTCTGTCTTAAGCTTAGGAGCCACTGTGTATTTAAAGTGTTATTTTTTGTACTTTTGAGAGAAGAACATAATCTTACTTTAATATATGTTAAGACTGGTAATTGTTTATGTGAGAATTCAAACAATGAAGAGCATCACTTCAGAGCTTAACAAGTTACATAAATGGGGCACATCACTTTAAGTTGTACAGCTATTTTTGTTGACTAAATTAGATGTGTACAGATTGTTTTCAATGACTGACTGCTAAGAAAAAAGATTTAACATCGTAATAAAATGCCTTGCCAAAATACATGCTTTCTGTTTCAGGTTTGACTACTGGTAACACCTTTGCACTGGAGTGTTAAAATGCAGATAAAATGCCACTGTTACTTGAAAGAACATTCTCAATTGTCACTTCAGCTTTAAAATGTCATACTTGTGATTTACGTGGATTTTTTATGTTTTAAGTTTTATGTTACAACAAACAAAAAATTCTAAAAAACACGGTGAATTTAAAAGCAAAATTATCCACATTTTTTATAAATTTTTTTGTTCCAAGTCCAGACTACTTGGCCTGTTCCTGACTGCATGCTGCCAAAGTTTGGTTAAGTATCTCCATGTCATCAAAGTACTGGATCACTTTTATATAAATGGATCTTGATATGGGTAGACAGTGGGAATAAATCAATGCAAAAAAATTTTTAAAAATCCAAAAAGTAACAAGCCATCCCACAGCAAAGGTGTTTAGGCTTTTTAGGCTTTTCACCTTTCCTCTCAGAATGAATTAATAAAATTGGCATCCATTCTGCCACCAAAGTGAACCCAGCATATTCTGCAGTTCTGCCTGAGAAGCCTGAAGTCTAGATGTTGTAAGAGTAGATAAATAAATACAGTAAAGCCTGTTACAACACTTATGACAATCTTGCTGATTAATTGTATAAGCTTAAAGTAAATATTCTGTCAGTTTAATCCTAAAACTTCTGCTTTTATCTAAAACATTGTACAGTGGAGCCTGACGACTTTCTGGTCATAAGTTTACAGGAACCTGCACAGAATTAATTGTCTGCCATATATTTACGAATCCTGAAATGCTTAAAAACAGGTTACAAGCTAAATTCTGAGGCTACCACTAAAGGAACTGTTCAATACTTTTCTTCTTCTTTGAACTTTGTTTTGTTCATTATGCAGTTATCCTTGCAGGGTTCAGTTCCATGCTGCAGTTAAACACGGGACACTTCCACATACTGATTTCTCAGTGCTTTCCCTGTAACTAAAAAACTTGAAGTTTGGTGTTTGGAATTCTGTTTTGCTTTTCTGCAGATTACCAGTGAAGAAACAAGCTGCTGTGAATAGCAGGGCAATGACTAATCTTGCACCCTGCATTGCTTAAGCTGTCAGCACATATTGTAGCTTGCATTCAAGAAGCTGGCGTGGCTTCTCATATCAACAAATGTTGCTTTTTGGACACCATTTGCTTTCTTTCTAGTGAATGCCTTTCTGTTAAAAGATGAAAATTAATCCTTTTTCTGTGTGTGCATTTTTAAGGCTTCAGCTGAAGTCTAGGATTGCTTTGAATTAGAAAGGAAACCACTTCAGCCTTGTTTTTCAGTCCAGCTGCCACTAATAATGATTTAGGAAAAAAAATGCATCCCTTAGAAACTATGTTTCAGAACAGTTCTCTAAATATCTTTACTCCTTAGCCAGTAAACACCTTAACTTCTCTTTTTCTCACATAGACTAATCCTAACAAATCCGTCTCACTGCTTTCTATGTTAAAATGAGATTAAGGTTTTAGACGTAAATGCAGGGCAGTAAGAGGACTACAGAAAGATCTGGGTTTGTAAGCATTTAACACCATTGTGTGTTACCTCTGCTCAATTTGTAAGTTACCCAGTGTAGTTGAACTCTAATAGGATCTCACTTTTTTTTTTTCCAAATGCAAGTTTATCAGATTTTGGCTTTTTCTGAAGATTTTGGTTGGTTCTCCAGGTGCAAGTTGAAACAAATCCCTGAGAGGTAAAGCAAACACACTCTGGAGCCTGCATTTGCCTGTTGTATGTGTAATTCCCCTGCTTGGCTTTCCAGTCCGGCATCTTGGGTTTTGATAAACGAATATCAGAGTATTTATTTCATATGGGCTGTAAAAGCAAATTACTCTGCCAATAGGAAAAGAAAGTGCTACTAGGGATTGCACAGCAATTTTCTCTCTGCATCTAAGAGGAAAAGGAGAGGACTCTACCTCATCACAAACTCTTTCCAACTGAATGCCTATTCACAGGTTAAAATTAAGGATATTGAGCCTGGCATTGATCTTGCCAGTTGTTGAGGAAAGAGTTTTGCTTGTTTCTTTGTTTGTGAAAGACTCGTTTCAGTGTTGTAGCTGGTTAGTCATTGTGGTGAAGGTCATGGTTGGTGTTTGCTAATGCCTGTCCTGGTGTGCTGGGATGTGGGGTTTTCCCGTCTTTTCCCACTTCACCTTAACTGTGGAAGCTAGTATGGGATTCATTCCTAATCACCAGCCCTGTGCCTGTGTGAGCACAGCAGCTGGGTACATTTCCTGTCTCCCCATGTCTTCCAAGCCTGCAGCAGACTGTGTCCCTGCCAGTATCCTGTGTGAGTATGGTTATCCCAGAGAAGCTGAGTCTGAGCTGGGAGTGCCTGGGAGGAGGCCTGTTTGCACATCGGGCGTGCCCTGGCCTGTGGGAGCAGCCAAGGCTCCTTCCTGGCCATGCTTATCTTCCCATGGGCAAAAGTCCATCCGTGCAGGCCTTTTTCCCAGTCCTCCTGCACTGCAGGTTCTTGCTAAGAGCAGAGAAGGAAGAAGTAATGCCTACTCTCCAGAGCTATGATGTCAGAACCGCTTTTACTTAGTCATTAGAGACTAATTAAAGAGTCTGCTTCTTGCAGAGTTGCAGTCCCATGAGCTAAAGCAGTTCTCTATGTTCTATCCCTTTTCAGATCCTCTGTAAAGCACTGTGAACAATAAATGCTTTTCCACAACAGAGGGACTATTGATCATATCTGTCCCAAGCAATTCTTCCAAATGGAAAAATTCATCCAGGCATATTCTCAGCATCTCACTGTAGTATGCTTACTGGTCATTTCTGGCTAATATTTTAATCCTACCTAATTGAAAGTATCTTTGGAATAGCAGGAAGCAGACTTTTGCTTTAGTTAGCAAACTACCCTGACCTGCAAATTTTTCTGCCATGAGGAAGAAATTCCCTGTGTGAGTAACTGAATGTACTGCAACACATGGCCCACAGAAGTTGTGGAGTCTCCCTCACTGGAGAGAACTTGCTAAGTTCTGGACATAATCCTGTGCCCTGTGCTCTGGGATGACCCTGCTTGGGCAGGGAGGTTGGACCAGATGACCACTGTGGCCCCTTCCAACCTGACCCATTCTGTGATTTGGTGATTTTACTTGCCCTTCACCAAGATGTCTCTCAGTGACCCCTAGCAGCTCTGCTTTAGCACCATCATGTAGGGGTCTCTCTCAAATACATGTGTGTGTGCAAATGTATAATTTTTTTTTTCATTAATTTTGTCTGCTTTCTCTTCTGTTTCTCAGGTTTTTTTAGATGCTATTTTGGACTGGAAGGAGCTGAAACAGCTGCAGCTGCACCAGGTGGAGAAGTTTGGACGAAGAAAACCCTCTAAGAATCACACAGAAGCAAAACTCTTGGGTCTTGTGTCAGGGTATGTGCATTCTTCAAAGGACTTCAAGTTTCCAAGAGCATTGCTGCTCAACCTTTGAAAGGCTTTCAGGATCATTGTTTAAAGGTGCTACACAGCCTCGTGTGCTTTCCATATTTTCCTTTGTGGTAATTGTTTTCCTCTCTGAACTGAATGCAGAACAGCCCATCTACCACAGCTGGCAAGCAGAACAGCACCAGCTAATTCACATCTAACTATTGCCACCCACAGAACATTTATCCTCATCTGAGTACTACAAAAAGACCTGCAGAACAATATCATGTTGTCATAAAGAGCTAATAAATAGAGTCTACAATTAATATTAGTCACCCTGTTCAGGATTTTAATATATGTCATTTTCATAATTGGCAATCTGTTGAATAGAATTTAATGCACCTGAATCACCAAGTGATGAGAAAAGAAGTGGAGAAATAATAAGCAGAGTAGATTGAGACAAGTGGTGGTTCTTGGCATGCTTTTTTTATAAAAGAAACCCAACATAAATTTTCAGAAAAATAGTCCTGTTAACACTTCTTAGGCTAATCATTGCTTTTCTTTTTGACTTTGACTGTCTGGTGACTATTATGTTTATAGTTAATTCCCTTTCTTGCCCACAATGACAGTAAGAATATCTAGAAATTATCAGTTTAAAAAAAAAGTAATTTTTTCAAAGAAAAAGGATTAATGGGAGCCAGTCCTATGTACGTGCAAACTTAAATTTCAATAACAGAATTTCTTGTGTGTAAATTCAAGCATATTGACAAAATGAAGACATCAATCTCAGGGGTTTTTTTAATTATATATAGTGGATTGCTCTGGTTTTAATCCTTAAATGTTGTTGTGCAAAAAGGAGAAAAGAGATGTTTCAAAAAGCCCAATAAACTTCAGTTGTATTAATCTGTATCAACCTAAAAATATGGATGTAGGGAAAAATAGATAGCCAAGACCGTATTTTCTGAAGCTGATTTTATATTTGACTCTGGGTACACTGCTTCTGCTCTGGACTTTACATAAGGCTGCTGTAGACATTTTTGGCTATAGCAAAAGCCATATGGTCTGGCTACCAAAATTAGATTCTGCTTAGCTTACAGCCTACAGAGGCTCCAGCAGCTGTGCTGCCGACCTTTGAGAGGAGGAAGGAAAGGGCTTTCCTTTGCATCACTCAGTCACAGCCCACAAAACATCCCTGTATTTGCATGTGCTGCTTGCAGTTACCTACTGTCACACCTCAGCTCATCTGCTGCCACCCAGGACCTGGCTGTGAATTAAAACTGCCTTGTCTTACCATTTTAACGTCTCCTTGTCCAAACTGTTTTGTCTACCTCGTTTTTCTGTCCTTTTTCAGCAGGAGAACATCATCACATGAAATTATAATACCTTGTGCATGGATCTTTCAAGCAAGGGAGCAGCTATGGTAGCTAAACATTGAGAATCTGATCTTCACGGTCTCTGATATTGTGAGGGTAGAGTTCTTCAAATTCAGCACTGCTACAAATCCCAACAAAACTCTTAAAAAGGCATTGCCCTAATGAATCACTGTAGGAAACTACCACTGAGCCAGACCAGAGAGACTTCAGGGCTACCTGGAGGAGGCCCATCTGCAACCTGTGATTTCT